CGTAATTCAAATTACTTCAAGCCAATATATATCAATGAAACATTTAAATCGATGATAAAGATCGATGCGTTTTATTCGTTATAAAATAAAAATAATGAGATAGAACTAGTCAATATCTATTTTCTTACAAAAGATGCTGTTTTAACCGACTTTAAAGGAATGAGGATTAAGTTTGATTGTATTTTTTTTTGTACGTTTATTACCTCATAACTCTGTCATTTTTGAACCGATTTGGATAATTATTTTTTTTTTATCTGAAAACATATACTTATAGATTGGTCCAATAGAAATTTTATCAAAATCGGTTCAGTAGTTTAATTTTTAGATCAAAATAACTGATTTTGTAACAATTGAAGACTTTTTTTTTGGAGGACACAATCTTTATTTATAGGAAATGTTCTTGTTATAAGACTGAATCATCTAACAAGCATACGACTCGCTTGATGGTAAGCGGTTACCGTAAACATACGTATACCAGCAACATCGAAGGCGAAACTCAGTAAATACCTACTTTGTTTAACTTTGAACCAGTCGAGTTTGTTTCTAATAAGACACATAAACTTTATTTATTGTGGCCTTCGATTTATATGGCTCTCCTCTTATACCTTGGTACGAAATAGTGTTGTACCATTATTATATATCGATATATAATAATAATTTTTGTAAGTATATTTATTCTATATGTTTATATATTCATTTATATTAAAATGTATTAATGTTGTTGTGTTGCAAAATATTTATTTAATTTACAAATTTTATTGTTAAATCAATGCACCGCCATTTACTCTCTCTGTTTAGCGTAACGGTTGACTGGTAGAGAATACTATCAGGCATTAAGTCCGCCCTGTAGATATATTTTAATGTATGTAAAAATATCAATAAATAAATTAATAAATTCAGATATATTATAAATTCCTCCATAAAGATAGATAGATAATTTATTTGTATTACTTACAGCACATAAACAACAATAGACATAAATGCACAGTGAAAAAGATAAAAATAAAGACATTTAGTTTAATCAAAATTTAATCGAAAATGAATTGAAGTTTTAAATCTCAATGCAAAAAGAGGAGCGTTATAAATTTGATGTGTCTGTCTGTGCTCCTAAACTAATGGACCAATTATGATGGGGTTTTTTGTTTGAAAACTAACGTGATCGAGATGCTTCTTAGCTACAATCTATAAAGAGCTATTCAAGCGTATCATGGTCATCAAATTTTTTTATAGATTTGTTTGTGTCGGAGGTTTTTTTTAATGTTTATCAAATTTATAGTAATATCACGATGCAAACGACAGTCTGGACAAGTCAAACCATTTTTTATTTAAATTTAATCAGCAGGTATTGTATTGGGAGAGGAGACAATACGTCACTACATCAGTCACTTCAAAACTGTGGCGGTGTAACTTAGTCGCAACTTAGAGATAGACGAGGTAAATTATATTTCATCGCCATCATCATCTCAGCCATTATCCGTCCGCTGCTGATGCCTTCTTCACGGACTGCCATAAAGAACGGCCCTGAGCCACCTGCATCCACTGCTCCTGCTCCCTGCAATGCATTTGAGGCCATCATTCCATCCAAGAAGGGGGGGTCGTCCTACATTGCATTTGCCCGTCCGAAGTCACCACCCAAGAACCTTTCTTCCCCATCGGTTGTCGGTTGTCGATTCTTCGAACTATGTAACCAGCCCATTGCTACTTCAGTTTCCTTATCCTTTTTATGCTTGTTTAAAGATCATTTATTTTATCTAAATGATCTCGTTTATTCCCGTCAATTATAACCTATAAGTAAATACAATCCTTATATCAAGAGGATGACAAAACTCAGGCGTGTATTTATGTGACGTTCATCGATAAGTGAAGTATCGATATTTTACAGCATTACCGAGTACGCGATGCTTGCACGCTACAAATAGGTACCACATGGTTGCGCGGACCAATGGCAAACAAGCCAGCCCGCGGCCTCTCACGATTCGACGGGTTCCATATTTGAAAATATATTATATTCTAATGCTTTTGTTCGTTTTACGAACGTAACTGTCAGAAAATATCGATAATAAATGACCGTTAAGTAGTGTAACATCACTGAAAATGGATTTATCTGAGTGGTATTATATACTACATCTATTTCTAATATTAAGTGATTAGAAATCACAAAATATAGATAATAATTTTTTTTAGAAAAAATGAAATCGATTTAATAAAAAGAAAATATGTAAATGTGCATGCAAATTTAACAAGAATAGAATATGTTCAGTATTTCCTCGCCAAAAACAAACAGAAAAACAGAAGCTCACGTCTATATTTAACTAGTGCATTTTAATAAGCAATTAAAATTGTGTCGCACAAAAAAAACCGACTGCAGTTTTAGCAAAGTTATTTTAATTTAAAAACTAAACTATTGAATCGATTTTGATGAAACCTCTACGAGACCAATCTGTAATTACATTGTTTCGGTTAAAAAAAGATTTTTAAAAAGAGCAATTGTATTTAACTAATGACATCATTTAAATGAAAGATTTGTTTAGTATATGTGTGTAAATAAATAAATAAATAAAAAACATAAAAAGTACAATCTCCAAATCGCTACCTCCGTTTTTAAGTCGGTTGAAAACCAACTACTTATGCCATGAATATACAGTAAATCTATATTAGATACTAGCCGTATCCCGCGGCGTTACCCACTTCTAACTATCTAGTTCCCATATATCATTCCCATTGGTACTCTTCTTGAATCCGGTCTTATATTGTATTACACGTTTAAACAATAATTACGTACCTAACACTTTCATAAGGGGGAAAGGGATTGTTAGTAATGGAGACTGAGAATCCCATTGCTAGCAATATACCCAACCAGGTCAACCTCCTCGCGGTTCTCCCTGGAAACTATCATGGTTAATTCCTGATGAATTCATCATGATGGACTAACTGGCCTGTTTTCATTCTCATCTATCACCCTTCACTGGTGCTCCGCCAGCGTATCCCGTTAGCGCAGGCGGGGTTACCATACAATTTTAACCCATAAAAAAAACACCTTCATAAATTTTCAGCCAATTCAACTGTTCAGTTATTTTATATATGTGTGTGTGCGTGATTCTTTAGATTGATTTTAACTTATTTATTTGTGAACCGTTTAAAATAAAATAAACACAAAATTTTAAGTGAAACAAACCGCAACGTATTAATTAAAACCGCATTTAAATCAGTTAATCCGTTTCTGAGATTAGCGCGCACAAACGTAGAGACAAAAATTATAAAAATATTTTTTTTTGGGTTCTATTGCGTTCATAAAGCCCCCCTACAATAGTTTTTCTTATATGTCTTCCATGTACAAACAGCGACCAGTTACGATTTTATTATATGTATTGATACACCGATGAAGACCGAGATATATTGGTATTTATGATTAATTTTTTTTATGTTTCACATTTTGCTCTTCAAAAATAAGAGTCACTTAATGATCTATAAATTTATATGTAAAAAGAATTATAAAAAAAAAAAACTATTGACAAATTAAGAACTTCCTTCTTTTAAAAGTCGGTTAAAAATATTCAACTACACCTGAGGACTAAGGATTATGATATGGCCAAAAATAATAAATGGAAAATCTATGAAACAGAAAAAAATAAGAAAAATCTAAAAGCATGTGCTGGGATTCGATTTGTAAATCACTGTCGGAAAAAATAGACGACTTTTGATTGATGCCTCAGCCAGGCATCGAACCGACTACCCCGAGGTAACGACTGTCTTACCGTAATCACTAGCTCGCATTCACTTGATTGATTTACTATAGAAGCGAGATACCTAAATAAAATAAGAAATTCAAAGGAAATTAAACCTTACAACAAAGAGATAGGGTACTTTAACATACTCAAGTTAAATGTATTGACGTACATACATTTTTATAAGAAGAATTTCAAAATAACTCACAAAAATTATTAGCGTTTGATTGATTGGAGCCATTCTTAATTTTTTTAATGAAGCATAATCTCTAACTTTTGTTTCGTTTGTAAATTCTTTTCTAGTTACGCTTTGAAGCTGTGAGGTAAAATTATTAACCGACTTAAAAAAAGAGGTTTTCAATTCTATTGTATTTTTGTATGTTTGTTTTCTCAGAACTCTAGAGGGAAAAAATTGTTACTAATAGGTTCTAACATATACATTGCTAGCAATATAGAGTATATTGCTAGCAATGTATCAGTCGTTAATTCTTGTCGAATTCTCCACGATGGGCCGACTGATCTGCCAGCCTGCCTAACGCAAGCGGAGTTACCTTTCCATTTTCACAATGGTATGGTAACCACACCCGCGCTAACGTTATACACCGACGGGGTACCAGTAAGGGATGATTCGTGAGAATGAAAGTAGGTCAGTTAATCCCTCCTGCGCTAACGGTATACACTGGCGAGGCATCTGTGAGAGATGATATGTGAGGACGTTGTCAGTTAGCCCACCGTGACGAATCTAACAATAAATCAATCACGATAGTTTCCAGGGGAAACCACGAGGAGGTCGCCCTAACAGGGCATATTGCTAGCAATGGGCTACTAATCGTCATTATATATATATACCTACTATCTACTTATGGTGCCAGCTATTGTAACAAATTTCATAAAAGAGACGCCCTTCGGAAAATCATATTGCTTATTATGGTGAATTCAAAACAAGCCAATTTACTTAAATACAGACTATTAGCAGGTACTTAGCTACTTTTTAAAGAGACATCCACATTTTAAATCAATTTTATTGTATTGTAATAAAGATCAAAGTCGAAGATCAATTTTAAATTAACTGACTTGGCTTGCACTGCAGGAACGTGAATAATTAATTGATGAATCATTGATTCGTTAGACGCCATGTTGTGATTTCTAATTTTAAATATGGCGGAGGACGTTCCGTTTTCAAACCGGCAATTATTTCATATGCATTACTTTCAATGACGTTATCATATTTTTTTTTTATAGCATAAGGACAAACGGGCATACGGCTTACCTGATTGTGATTACCGCCGCACATAGACCAGATAAACAACACCAGAGAAATTGCAGGTTCATCGCCGAACTTTTAAGAAAGAATATGCTCCTTTTCTTAGATTATTTTCTTGAAGTTTTTAACGTCGTTTCTTCATAACATATCCTCAGTTGTTGGAGGAGGGTTTAATGTTCTTAGGCAGCGTCTAAAAGGAGTACGTTCTTAATTAGTCTGCATTTTTTTTCTACTTCAAAATAGCATTCAAGCTGACAGCCCGAAGAGAAAGAAATGGGGCGTTGTTGTACCACTGCTAGCAATTTACACTGTCAGATCGAACTCCACGCATTCCCCTTTGATAATCAACGAAGATCTTGACGATTTCGTCACGATGGATCAAATGAACTGCATAAATTCATATTTTTTTTATACAACTTAGAATGGCAAACAAGCTGACGGCCCACCTGATGGAAAGTGGTACCGTCGCCTATAAACATAAACAGTACCATGGACATAACAGAGTATACTGTTTCGCACATGATACCCTTTACACATTACCAATCCTAAAGATTATCTCTATACTTTATAATTTCACTGTCATACCCCTCCCTTCAAACCGAAACAGCCATGCAAACAACTGCTTTGCGACAGAAACACTGATAGGACACAGGTATCCAAGCAGACTTTTGTACAGTCTCCCTCTAGTAGATGATGTTGATGTTCTGCCCGTGTATACGGATAACGCAGGTGGAATAACTATTCCATTTTCATCTTTCTATTGACTATGGCGGTAGTCACTCACCTATGGTAAGTGACTACCGCCGCCCATGATCACCCGCAGCACCAAAGTCATTGCAGGTGTGCTGCCGGCCTTTTAAAAAGTAGTATACTTTTTTCTTAAAGGTTATAATTTGAAAGTTATACATTTTCTATGGAACCAATATATAGGTATTTCATATAAAAGAATCATTTTCCAAATCGGTTTACAACAGTCGGAGTTATGAGTTAACAAACAAAGAAAATACAATCGAATTAAAAACCTCCTTCTTTTGGAAGTCGGTTGAAATTCTGCTAGTTTCCACCTAAAACATCCCAAAATCTACTAGCTAAAGGTATTTAATTGTAATAGAAAAAGAAACAACGTTAAATCAGTCAAATAGTATATATTTAAAAATTGGACTCAAAAATAGTATAAAAATTGTTTATACAATCGATATAAATGCTTTCTTATTATATAATTTGTATATTAGGTAAATATAAAATAAAACTTATATAAAACACACACTACGACGAAATATCTAAAATATAATCATCACCAATATATAATATAAAAATTGCTTAATTGCAACAAAACTATCTCTTTCTTTTTCACGGAATCTAAAAGAGATGCAGTAAAAAATCTCACATTACAACATGAATATTTTAATTAGAGTTTTGTAATATATTTGAAAAAAAAAATCGATTATTGAATAGAAGTTCGCAGACGTATTACGAGTAACTACGGGGTTTCGCGACTAGTTTCTGATGATTAATATTTTCGAAAAAATATATTACAAAAAAATATTAATAATTTCAAAGAACTGCAATGTCCCTTTAGAGTAAATATATGTATGTATATGAATATACATACACTGTATATAGACAAATACATACAGTACAGTTTATTAAAAGTACACATTTATTATAGTATACTTAGGAACGTTTTTCTTTACATAATTTTGCACAATGTTTTAAATCTAAAAAAATAATACTGTCATTTTTTCATTCACCAATTTCTATGGCACGAGTGATAGAGACTGACATATGTATGTCGAAAAATACAAATGATTGTAATAATTACATCAAAATTAATAACACTATTTGACTTTGTGCAATTGTCAAAAACAATTGCCAAATTTTAAAGCAAATAAAGAAGATACATAAACCATATTAGTGATTAATTGTTTATACACTTTATAATAAAAAAATCCATGTAATATACATTAAAAAAAAAACAGACTAATAATCTGATAATATTATATAACTGGTATCATATAAAAATAGTTAAAATAATCTCATTTAAACCAACTTTAAAATAATCTATCGATGTCGGTGAATTGGAATAATGGGCCAATTACTTGACTTGGCGTATTTAAATACGTCAAGTCGGAAGGGAGGGATTGTTAGTAATGGGCTCTAACTGACCCATTGCTAGCATTACACCCTGTCAGGTCGACCTCCACGTAGTCCCCACTGGAAACCATTCCGCTGAATTCGAAGTTATCACGATGGGCTAACTGACCTGCTCTTTCATTTTCACTTATCATCCCTTACTGGTGCCCCGCCAGTGTATACCGATAGCACAGGCGGGTTTACCATCCCACTATCATCCATTAAAAAAAAAGTCAAGTTGCAAATTACCATGTGGTCCCGGCACAGAATGAGTCACGCCTTCCATTCTTGTGGGTGATGTAAGAGATGACTAAAAGAACTTATCTATCCAGAAATAAGCAGAGAGACGCTACTCTCTTACTCGCAAAACATCACCAAGCCTAACTGCGGTTGCCAATTCGACTGGCAAGCTGTGCGACCATTGACAAAACGCCCCAATACGGTAACGTCTATGTCCAGCAATGAACAGTTAACTGCTGGTGTGATGACCGTGATGAACGTGATGAAAGTGATGAAAGTTACAATTGTAAATAAACTACACATTAACAATTGTAAACAGTACTTAACTACTGGAAGTATATTTATGTATTCTCAGTCTATTCATTGTAACATACAGTAAATGACGTAACCCATTCCTTAGAATTGGTAGTCATTACACGGTCACCGCCTTGTGTGTCCCGGCATAGAATAGGCCACCCCTTCCTTATCCGTGGGTGTCGTAAGAGGCGACCAATGGAGGGCGAGGGATGAGCAGCAGCGTGCCTCTTAAAACATCTGTAAAAGCCTAACTGCGGTTGCCAAGCCGCATGCCACACGTGGTATCTACTAGCAAAACTCCCCTTATGGGGAAGGCTTATGTTTAGCAATGGACAGTTGACGATTTATGGAAAATTTTCTTTCCTAGATTTTTTTTTAATTCCTAAAAATAAAAAATCTTGAAAAAAAGGCTGGATCATCTTTATTCAAATAGACTCGTTTCAAACACTTTTAAATCGTCATTTTTTTTAACTATACGCAAGAAACTCAACATTTACTCTTTTAAATCTCTGTTAATATTATGTATATTTATTTAAATGTACTGTCTTAAATTAGCCACTACATAATAATAAGTATGTAACACTATGTACGGAGTAGTGACATCGGTAGACATACAAGGTGGTCTTTTTTTCGAGATTAATTTATTTTTGATAATAAAAAAATTATAAGAAAAAACAATTGTGGAGTCCCTATTAATGAATACTAACACCTGTTTTAAGGAATGGGCTACGTTAATAAACACACTGTATTATGGCAGTGATGACACAAGTATATTTAATCTGGTCTCAACCAATAAATACATAGATCTCTCTAGAAATGCTTCGCCAAATACGACCTGTCATTATTAAAAAAATTATGAGATTCCAACAAAGAGAAAGGATTTCCAAAGAGGGTTAACGTCAGACAGGCGGCCGGTCGTAAAACTACAAAACCTTGTGTAATATATTTTTTTTACAACACAGGGGGCAAACGAGCATGCGGCTCACCTAATGGTAAGTGACTACCGCCGCCCATGATCACCCACAACACCAACGACATTGCAGGTGTACTGCCGGCCTTTAAAAAGGAATATGTTCTTTTCTTGAAGGTTACGATGTCGTATCGTTTCGGAAATAATGTGTAAAAACATATTATGCCGACCCAAAATAATTGGGATAAGGACAGAAAGATGATGACGAGATTCCAACTACTATCTGAAATGATATGGTAAATATACCATTATTTATGCAGTTGCCAACCCACTTGTCAAGCGTGGCAACTATTGACAAAATCCCCTAAGTGGGAGACATACGTACAGTGATGTGATGATAATAACAATGATGATTGTTTATGTCAAAAAAGAATAGTACAAAAAATATATGCCTTATTAAAAAATATCTATATCGCGTCTTTGATTTTCTTCATATTTTAAATACATATTTAAAAATATAAATAATACTATTGTCACAATATAATATAAAACTAACACAAAGCTTTGGAAAATGTCAACTACAACAAAAAATAATAAAAATTAATCATTCATAAATGGAATAACTATAGCAGTTTATCATAAAAAAAAAATACACTCTAGAAAACTTCAAGTCACTTTCTAAATATTCCTTATTGTAAAAAAAATTGTTTAAAAAATTAAAGCATTAATAATCATAAGAATAAACATTGAAAAGAGTATTAAAGTAATATTTGTAGATAATATGTCATGATTTAAAATACAAAATATCATTTTATTACCTAAAAAATATTGGTAATATAATAAATTATTTTTTGAGCATATTTTAATCAAACACAATCCGCCATTATTCTAGTGACGTCACAGCTAAGTACATACTATACAGTAGCATGAATAACTTGTATTCATTCTATTGTATTATATGTACATAACTAATACAGTAACGTTCTTCTTTTATATATATGTAACTCACTGTTTGTGTTGTAATTTCTTGACTGAACCGCATTTCTTTCTCAGTAGTAGTATTAACTTATCCACAGTGGAAATAGGCAAAGGAACTAAGCCATACAGTCTTATATTTAGTAGAATGTTCGTATTTCCATACAGAGTCAATCAGTATTTTTTTTTAACACCAATGAGGTGGTAAATAAACATACGGCCCACTTGACGGTTACCGCAGCTTATCAATATTTTTTTTAACCCTTTGCACTCCGTTGTCGCCGTATTTGTGACATTAAAATGCTAAAATTAAATCCACTGTCGCGGCTTCAGCGACACGATTGTTTTACAGACGCCCTGTATAAAATAGCTAAGAAATAAATCCATTTTTCTTTTACATCACAGGTATGTACTTGTAACTAATATAGTTCTGGGGTTACTGGTATCCTCTATGAGTGTCTATGCTCGAGTGCAAAGGGGAAACATAATCTCATTATGTCACCTTACATCCTACATAATGTATGTGTGTGTATACAATATTTTTTAAATCTATAATTATCTCAGTCAATACAAACAGCAGCTATACAGCCAATAAAACTGGTCAAGTTCAAGTTACAATCAGGGGGTCTACCATGAAATGAAATGCCGAATTTTCGAACTCAATTGCGTGTTTTCGTTCACACCGAAATCAGGCTAGTAAATGGAGTCGAACATTTCGCTCGTCATGTATAAGAGGTCCAAGGAACGATATTTTAATATTTTGAATATTACTAAACTGTATATTTTATATAACTTTAACATTAAATTTGCATTTCCTTCGGCCCCGATATTTAAGGAAACCATTTCATGGTAGGCCATCAGACATCGCGAGTTCCGTACGTAACATATCTTGTACGTAGATTTATGCTTTTTTTACATGAAACTTTAATATCATTTAAACCTATTTTATATATGCAAATGAAACTTCATTATCATACCCCAAATGGACTAATTGGTCCATTTATACGCGACTGCCCAAAAAAGGCATGTAACGTTTTCAGGGGTCATGTATGTATATTAGTTTCTTTACTCCACCATGACTTCTAAATGCCTGAACAGTTTTGACTGTATGGGACATCGTTGGCATCCTTACGTTATCCCGAGTATTATGAACTATATATTTTTTTAAATATTTCATTATTGCAACAAAATGTACTTGTTACCTTGAGGGTAATGTTGTTCAGTTACACAAACTTATCGCTGTCACTGGATTTCTAATTTATTTCCAACGCCGTAAGGTTGAATTTACTTTACAATTACTTCATGGTCAAAATAATCTTTCCAATACACTAATTGTAAACACACTGGTTCGAAAGAAATGTATGACTGTCATATTAAATAAACGTTAGATAAATACTAAATTCTAAACGTTTTCACTTATATTTAGCTGCCGTTTACACTAATTTACATAAAAAAATTAATATTCAGGTAGAAGTGACACTTAACTGAATAGAATAATTGTAAATATGGTGACACGCTGAGGGTTCACGTTTTATTAGGGGCTAAATGGGTCACAGCTCGCAAATTATGCAAATGACACTGCAATGGAATCGTGTGCCTCGCTCACTCGCACGTGTGTCGCTTGAATCGTGTCAGTAGGTTATAATATCTATATATTTTAGTTACAATATCTATATACTGGTCCAATAAAGAATATATTAAAAGTTTGTTATCCAAACAATAATATCGGATAACAGACTTTTAATATATTCGAAAATAGATATCCGACCGGTTGTGGGCGATATCGTAATGGATAATGATTAAAGAAACCCAATATATAAATATCGGATCGGTATCTATATTGCTCATGTCTATCGTTAACCGAACCTGTGCTAGGTTTGAAAGAAAGAAGGGTACATTTTAAGGGCATTGTAATATCTTGTCTTTTGTTTTATTTTTATCAAAAGAAAAAAAAATTAATAACCGAATATGTCGCTAAGCGGAGTACTCTAGAACAACTAGACCATAACAACAATTCTTTTTTTTTTTTTTTCAAAAATTCATTTTAACTCTGAGTACAGTTTTATGAAGAGAAAAATTGGCTGAAAACCCGTAAAAACTCAATTTTCCTTTTTCACATACAAACTGTTCCTAGCTGACTATTTAAATATTACAATCAAATATTGACAAAACAACATCTGTCCAGCAGCAAGTTTACGAAAGTAGATAAATGTCACTTCTACCCAGTTTGTTTGTCTATGGTATTACAAGACAGTAAATAAGGTGTATATTTGTATACCAGTCTTATAGTCCGCAATCAAGCCAGGCATATCAGCTGTTTGCCTTCGTCCATTTGAAATTGAACCTTATCGGAATTGGCGGCCTTGTCTGCCGGCTTGGAGAGCGCACTGCCGAGGAATATGAGTGCTACGCCCGTAGCCGTCACGAATAGTGCCCAGCCTGAAAAAGTTCAAGATAATGATTAGTTAATTAGAATTATTTTGTTTCATTCCGCTAATATTAGTATGCATACAACTGCCAACACTTGAAGATTGACAACTTGCTGCGGCTCCATTTCTATGTCAAACGGATCAGCCAGTCGCAGCTTCTGTAAATAGCGTGATACTATTTCAATGCTAGCCGTTGGCCCTTAGTGGCCCATTCACCCCAGTCCATCAAATTTTATAACGCATCACCATTCGAATAAACACATTAAGAGGAAACGCATCATTTTTGTACCCTTAAACTAAAATATCCCAAAAACTAGTCAAAACACACATAGGATAATACACTGCTATTATTATTACCTGAAATTCTACAACCTTCCATATTAGCCATCTCCAACCAACATTCCGTCCACGCACAATTTGCAAATTAAAATTATCGCAACAATTCATTACAAGACAATACCCGTCACCCCTCGTGTTTGCCGGGCCTCCCCCAATGGGATCTCACCCGGCAGAAGAATACCACGCCGAATGGATATGATGGCGCTTTAACACACCCAAGAAGTCAGCGGAAAGATCCACCCCCAAGCACCCTACACATAGTAGGGAGAAAGGGATTGTTGGCAATGGAGTTTGTCAGCCCCATTGCTAGTAATTTGCAGGTTGTCGACCTCCACATGGTTCCCCCTAGAAACCATAGTGAACAATTCATGTTGAATTCGTCACGATGGGCTAACTGATCTGCTTCATCCTCACCTATCATCCTTCACTGGTACCCCGCCGGTGCATATCGATAGCGCGGGTGGGATTACCATTCCATTATCACCCACTAAAAAAAACCCTACACATAGTTATGTGCGGCGAGCGACATTATTTAGAGCGATTACGTGCGAAAATCCGTGTTGCAAAATATAGTTTTTAATACAAATATACATACCTATAGAACACTCCCCAGGCATATAGGGCTCTGAGTATTTACCACACAGTCTCTTCACGCGGACAGCCCCCCAACCCCAGGGGTACAGCAGGATGCCAAGCACTCCAAATAGACCTGAAGACACAACAGATTAGACTTTAATTTACAGTAAACCATCTATGTTAGAGGGAAAGGGATTGTTAATAATGGGACTAGAGGCCCCATTGCTAACAATTTGCTAAAAAAACCTTCTATGTTACAAGTTGATTTCGTTTCACAAAAAAACACCAACTTGTGGTAAAACCACAAATTTTATTCAGACTTAACTTTTTTTTAACAATTTATTATTTATTTATTTGCTATCGTCTGTTAGTACAGGCCTCCTCCTACTGCCTCCAATGGTCTCTTATTGTTAGTGATTCTTGTTCAAATTCCACCTGCTTCAGCCCTAAGACATAAAAGATGGGTAGATGACAATCTACCCATATTTTATGTGATCTTCCTCTATGGGCCATCTGGCTTAACTTAATCCTCACCTTTCATCCCTGTCCACTTTTACATTTTTATCTCTTTATAGAAAAAAAAAAACTACATAAATTTGGAACAATGTGGTGAAATTAAAAAATTAAGTATAAATACCTCCAAGAGCCTGAGTAGCCCCTGCTAATGATATAACGCTTTTTTTGAACACAGACTGGACGCAGCAAGCAAGCACACCTGCCAGTACCGTCGCGAACTGGATAGCTGCACCTGATAAAATTATATGAAAAAATTTTTAATCACTTATTGACTTAGCTAACATTTCAGACCCTTAGTAATAAATCCAACTCATATAATAAAATTGTAACAAGATACATAAGACAAATTGATATGTTAATTATTTATACACTTTATAATAAACCATGGTTTATTATAAAATGTATAAATACACTTGTAGTGCATATATATAAATACACTTAAAGTGTATAAATAAACTAGAGTAAACATACTAACATAAGGATAAAAAGAACATGGCCGCTTTCCAAGGCTTAGGATACACAATATCTTCAGTTGCAAGCCCATAAAAAGAGAAGGAACCACAGTCACTATATTCATTTGCCATTCGTATACATCTAGAAAAAAAAAACAACACTATTATAAAAAAATTATAACAATAAATAAATGACAAGAAGTGATGACAGACTATATTCCATAAAAAACCCACTTCCAACTTTACTAAACCAATTTTTTTTTATTTAAAAACCAAACTACTGAAACAATTTTGATAAAATTTCTATAGAACTAATCTACCAGCATATCCTTTCAGATAAAAAAAAAACTTTATCAAATTGCTTTACAACTGACAGAGTTATGAGGTAACAACATGAAAAACAATTAAATTTTGAACCTCCTTTTTTGAAGTAGGTTAAAAATAGATATTCTATTTGTACTGAACAACTATAAACGCTAATGAATTTTAATTAAGTAATTTATCATTCATAAATATTGAAAATTGTTTGAAATTGCCTATTCAAAAAAAGCCTATTACTTGAACGTGGTGTACAAACAGCTAAATAAAATTAAAAAAATAAAAATTAAAACATTATTACAATAAATATAATAATAATTTTAGTTACCGCTAGATTTTTTTAACACATTAAAACCACTTATTATATTTATGCTCTTACCTATTGTAAATTCCAACACTGGGAACGTAGAATCCTGTTATGTTATTCTCATTTATTACAACGGGCTGTCCCATTAACCATTTCGGTGTCATAATACCGGTCAAAATTAACATAAATGCAACTAAACTTATTAGGAGCCATGATAAACTACGACCAGTCACAATAACGTAGCACATTGTAAAATATGTAAATAATACAACTACTACAATTATGTTTTTATTACTGCTTTTGTTAAGACTTTAATGACAAATTTATATATTTATTTATATTTTTAATTTAATGAAAACAATAAAAATAAATAAAATTTATGTAAGAAGACTAATTAAGAGCAAAAAAAAAATGACAACAACATTAAACAATTATTAACATTTTTTTTTTTTTAGTACGTTTGTTCCGTTTGGAACAGGCTAAGGTCGGAGACCATGCTGCCTAGTCTTCAAAAAGATAATTTGTCTGGAATTTTATTTTTCTAATGTCGCTTCAATTATTGTCATAATCTTCAATATTTCATTTGTCAAATCCGGTAAGTACATTTTCATAAATATCTTTTCTTGAGTTTTCTTAAACCAGTGGATTTATCAAATTAAAAATAAATAATTATAAAAAATCATTGTCTTGCAATTCAATAAAAGTATTCTTATAGCTCCTTGAATGTTGTAGTAATATAAGTGAAAATAGCTTTGAAACAAGAAGGAAATCTTAAGAGAAGCGGGATTGAGTGCGGGATATTTTCGGGTTTTTTGAAGATAATCCTAAGTTCGTCAAACATAATGTGTCTTTGAATGACAAATTCAGAGCAATCAAAAAAAAGGTGATGTAGAGATTGGGCTGTATTTGAGTTACACCATGTGCATGATGGGGAAGCGATCATGCCCATTCGGTGCAGGTGTTCGTTGAAATGTCCGTGGCCGATTCGTAATCTACAAATATTGGTGTAAAATTTTCTGTTTGTGTCCTTTCCTTTGCAGAACCACGGTTTTCCAATACGCCAATTAATTTTGCGGTACCATTTGCCTTTAGTCTGTAATATTTGAGTCCAATTCTCCTCCCATTTAGTTGTAACGATTTTATGTATTCCAATACTACAATCTGAGTAACAAAGGGGTAAATCTTGAACACGAGCAGCACTTGAATTAATAATTTTAGCCAAAGTGTCTACTTGTTCATTCCCAAACACTCCAATATGTGAAGGGGTCCAGATGAAGATAATATCTTTTCCATATATAGTACAGAGATGATAATATTTATTACGAATTTCTTGAATTAAGTAGTTTGATGATGAAATGAATGTGTTATTTTTTAATGCCATAAGAACACTCATACTATCTGTAATTATAATCCATTTCGAATATAGTACCTGTTTTTCTATGTATTCTAATGCTAAAAATATAGCTTTTGCTTCTGCTGTGTAAATACTAGCCAAAGTTGAAATTTTATAACCGTGACCAAATCTATTTGACAAATCGTAAAAAGCCACTGAAGTGCTAAGTGCATTTTTGGAACCATCTGTATATATCTGCCTGTAGTCAATAAATTCTGATAAAGTCTCATACATATCGTGCTTTTCTTTTATGTCTTTACGTATAACAATTTTGATTTTACAGAACTTACTCTCATAAAGGCCATTATAACAAGGAAGTATCTTACTACTATAGATGTTATATTCATCTCGTAAATTCAAATCATTGACAATAGTTTTATTCAAAAACATAGAAATGGGGCAATTTAATAATTTGAGTATGAGTGGGTTATTGGAAACTGAAAAAACTTTGAAGAGAAATTTGAGTTTTAGGTATTCGAAACGAAGAAGGATAGGAGGCAAATTACATTCTACTTGCATTGAGATAATTGGAGAAGTATACATAGCACCTAAAATAAGTCTTAAATTCATATTTTGAATTTTTTCGAGTTTTTCTACTAATTTATGTTCTGAGGCATAACAAAAGAAAGCGTAATCAAAATTACTTCTAACAAGAGATTTGTAAAGTAAAAGGATAATTTTAGGATCAGCTCCCCAGTTACGACCAATTACAGATCTTATTATATTAGTGGCTCTTAAAGCACGATCTACTAAGCAATCAACGTATAGATCCCATTTTAAATTTTGATGAAAAATTACCCCCAGAAATTTAACGCTACAGTCTGTTGGAAGAGTTTGATTATTATATATAATATTCATTAATGGAACATATTTATGAACTTGATGAAAAACAACTACTTTACTTTTGGTTAAACTAATATCGAGGGAAAGAAGAGAAAAATATTTCTCAAGTCTTTTTAATGACTCATTTAACACTAATTGCATATCAATAATATTCTTTCCTTTTATATAAATTAATAAATCATCGGCAAATTGCAAGTTGTTCACACTGTTTCCTAAAATTGAATTAAGTTTATAGATATATAAAATATATAGTAGCGGGCTTAGAATACCACCTTGACATACTCCTTTAGAGCTTAACCTAGGTCCTATTAATTTACTATTTACTTTAACATACACTTCTCTATTACTAAGAAAATTATAAATCCATTCGATAAGTTTCATTGGAAGAAATGAGGATAAAATCGAAGATAGAACTGTTAAATTTACATTGTTAAAAGCTCCTACGACATCTAAAAAAACAGATAGAACATATTCATCGTTATTCAAAGCAGTACTAAGGTCGACATAGAAGTTCGCTAAACTTTCGCGCGCTGAATATCCACGGCGAAAACCAAATTGATTCGATGGTAATATACTATTACTTTCAATAAAGAACTCTAAACGCTGTTTAATTAATTGTTCGAATAATTTGCCTGCACAGGACGTCAATGTTATAGGTCTATAGGAGTCGAAATTTGTAGGATCTTTACCGGGTTTAATTACTGGAATCAAACAATCCATTTTCCATTCTGGTGGGATAATACAGTCCTTCCATAAATCGTTAAAAATTTGTAAGAGTTTAGTAAGGTTTATTTTATTCAGCAATCGAAACATATTGTATGTTAAGCGATCAAGGCCACTAGCTGTATCTTTTCTAGATTTTACTGCACTGGATATTTCATCAATTGAGAATGGGTCAGTGAGAAATTTTGGGCATGAATTAACAGAATTAAACTGTTTGTCATCAAAAGGTGAGTGTACAAAATCAGGAGTATATTTGCGTAAAAAATCATTGACCCATGATATATCTTTAAAATGATTTTGACGATGTTTTGAATTTAGTTTTCTCATATTTTGCCAAACAGTGGAAATTGGTGTTAATCTATTAAATTTGGAACAAAATTCCTGCCACCCCTGTTGTCTTACTTGCTTAATTACTAACTTTTTAACAGCTTGAACTCTTTTAAAATTTATGTAATTATCGAGAGTTGGATTTTGTTTAAACCTAAGGTAAGCCGCTTTACTATCATTGACAGCTGTCGCACACCTGTTATTCCACCAAGGTACTGCAATATGTTTGTGCCTCTTTGAAGTATTTGCACCGCTATTTGATAAGTTCCTACGTGGAACGGAACGTTCCACAGCTGTCAAAATAATTTTACAGAACCTATTGTAATTGTTTAAGGGTTCATTGACATCATACTCGAAATCCAAAAGTAATTGATTAACAGTTTCAGAATAAAGATCCCAATTAACGAGACGTAGGTTTATACGATTTAACAAAAGTTTATTAACTTCATCTATAGGAGCATGTTGTTCACCTGACGGAGTTGATGAAGAGTTCTTTGTGTTTATTTTAGTAAAAGTCGGCAGGTGATAACTTCCTAACGGATCATCATGAACCGACCACTCGCATTTTAATGATATGGATGGGGATACCATAGTTAAATCAAGGCCATTGGGTCTCCAAATATGAGAGCCAACAGTAGTAACTTGCTTATCATTTAATAGTACCAAATTACATTCATCTAAACAATCAAGAATGTCTTTACCTCTTGTATTAGTGGAGGTACAACCCCACATAGTATGATGTGCATTTAAATCTCCAGATATGATAGTGGGTTTAGGAAGAGACTCCAAAAAGAACTTAAATTTGGCTTTAGTAAAACTAGGTGTACTATTGGTAGGACAGTAAATACTGGCAACTGAATACCAAGAATTATTAACTTCAATACTAATAGCTATAGTTTGCAAAGAATTGTCGAAAAAAGAGTGAAGTTTTTTATATCTAATACTATTATGTATAATAATCGCTACTCCATTGTGGTTATTACCACAATCATTTCGTTCTATACAATAATCTTTAATTTTTAATTTGTAATGTGGTTTTAGCCAAGTTTCTGAGATGAGAGCAATGTGAATATGATGTTCATTTAAAAATTGTGTAAAAATATGTCGATTGCTCAGTAGGCTCTGAGCGTTCCACTGTATGATAGTTAATTGGTCTCGATTGAATTTTGTGAAATAGGTCTATTACCAAAAGTATCATATAACACATTCAAAACACTTTTAGTGTTAATAGATGTGTTCTTTGTGTTATGTAGTGAAATAAGTTTGATTATGCTTTCTATTAAAAGTGATAAACTCTTGTTATCAGAATTTAGAATTGAAATTAGGTCTACATTTTTTTTAGGTTTGTTACCCAGTTTAGGAAATATTTCAGTGCTAAGTATATCTCCAAAAGAAGCAGGTCTGAATTTAGATCTATTTTCAGCAATTTTCTTTTGTTTAACAGGGCATTGCGGTGATACACTTGTGTGATTTCCATTGCAGTGTACACAAATAGCGTTTTCCATTCCAGTTGTACAAGTTTTATAATTATGCTCACCTTTGCAGATGCTGCAACGCTCAGAATTCTTACAGAATTTAGCTAAATGTCCATACCTCAAGCACCGGTAGCATTGTTTAACTGGTGGTATATATGGAGTGACATTGTGGCGCCAACCTCCAATATCCAGATATTCAGGTAATACAGATGCAGCAAAAGTAATTGTCACGGTTAGAGTTGGCTGTAACACATATCCATGAGTCAAGGTATTTTTTCTTAAAATTCTTTTAATAGCAATAATTTTCTTAGAACTCGATATCATAGTATATATTTTTTTATTAGATATATTTGTAGGTACATTTCTAATAACGCCTGTAACTTCTGTTGAAGAAGCAGGAATACTGGCCTTAAAATGGTAGTCATTTAAAAAAGTTTTATTATTTAAAAAAGCATTGGCTAAGTCTGGCTTTTGAAAGTATACTCCGATTTTGAATTTATTTATAGATCTAAGATAAGTTACCCCTTTATTAAATCGTTTTAAACAGGAGGAGAGTGAGAGCAAGTCTCTGGATCCAATGGTTTTCTGACTATCTGAGGATTCTACAAAGACAACAAATTCTGTCCCAGGGGATTCCTCGGGATATCTTCTAATATAATCTGTGACGTAGTAAGGTTTATACTTATCGGCCTTATCAATTTCAGATTCTGAGTCAGTAGAAGTATCTTCCGAATATATATCCTTGTCATTACAAGGTTCATGGTCTACATCACCTGAATCGTCATCTTTTTTTTTCCTTTTTCTACAACTGCGCTTCCCCATGAATGCTAATTATATTACTGTCGCTGAATTTAGTGAAAATATAATATTTTATTCAATAATAAGAATTGATAGAGATAGTTTTAATAAATTAATAAAAAAAATTTAAAAAACCCGCTTGTTCTTATTCGAGTTTCCCGCCTTTTTTCCCAATTATTAACATTTTTTTTTTTTTTAGTACGTTTGTTCCGTTTGGAACAGGCTAAGGTCGGAGACCATGCTGCCTAGTCTTCAGAAAGATAATTTGTCTGGAATTTTATTTTTCTAATGTCGCTTCAATTATTGTCATAATCTTCAATATTTCATTTGTCAAATCCGGTAAGTACATTTTCATAAATATCTTTTCTTGAGTTTTCTTAAACCAGTGGATTTATCAAATTAAAAATAAATAATTATAAAAAATCATTGTCTTGCAATTCAATAAAAGTATTCTTATAGCTCCTTGAATGTTGTAGTAATATAAGTGAAAATAGCTTTGAAACAAGAAGGAAATCTTAAGAGAATCGGGATTGAGTGCGGGATATTTTCGGGTTTTTTGAAGATAATCCTAAGTTCGTCAAACATAATGTGTCTTTGAATGACAAATTCAGAGCAATCAAAAAAAGGTGATGTAGAGATTGGGCTGTATTTGAGTTACACCATGTGCATGATGGGGAAGCGATCATGCCCATTCGGTGCAGGTGTTCGTTGAAATGTCCGTGGCCGATTCGTAATCTACAAATCCAATTATTAACAATCACAATGTCATTCAAAACCCCATCTGACTAAGACTGACGGATACCATCAGTCAATCAAAATGTTAAAGTCAAACTGAATAAATTCTTATCCAGTGTCGTAGACGCACACGCTTGTTTAAAAGGTTGAACAGAGAGCTTTTTGTATTGGGTGAATATTTGTTTAACATGAACATAGGATAACAACCCTGCCTATACTAGAATTTAAATTATTAATATTAGAATTAATATATCGTTATACGCTAGTGGAGCGCCAGTGAGAGTTACTAAAGACGAAGATGACGAGTAGGTCAATTAGTTCATCATAGCGAATTCAATTAGAATCACCTACGATAAGTTCCAAGGGAAACGTGTGGAAGTCGATATCATAAAGTATATTGCTTAGCAATAGGAGTGTTAGACCCTTTCTCTAGTGGAGAGACATTGTTAGTAATGAGGTCTAACTGCCTTATTGCTAGAAGATGGCGTGGAAATCAACTACAACGCAGTTATCCCTGGAAACCACCATGTTTAATTATTATCGAATTTATTATGATAAGCCAACTAATCTGCGGCATCCTTATTAATCCTTCACTGGAGCTTCGCCAGTATATAGTATATATATAGGTAGGTAAGTTTTAACTTTTAGGACATAGGTGTTTTGAAAAGTAACTTCTACGAGGGTAAAAATGGTACCCGAAGCGAAGCAAGGGCGGGTCCACTATGTAAATATAGCAGAGAAACACTGATAATTTTAGAGGTTTCTAATGTGATATCGTAAATTAACGCATTTTTTGCGCTTAACATTGCACCCGTGCGAAGCCGCAAAAAAGCGCAAAAAATGCGTCGCTATAATCTATAACGGGTCGCTATAATCTACACTAATATTATAAAGAGGAAACATTTGTTTTTTGTTTGTAACGAATAGGCTCCGAAACTACTGGACCGATTTCAAAAATTCTTTCACCATTCGATAGCTACATCCTTTGTGAGTGCCGTAGGCTATATATTATATCTATATGTTATATTTACCGAACTGTGACCATTTATGTCGAGTAAGTCCGAAGAAAATATTTGTATAAAATTTGCTTATCTTGCGCGCACTGACTACATAAATAGTTGCTTATAATAAAAAACAATGTTCTACGTTTTTATAGTACTCATTGAGATCTACAAATTAGTCCGCGATAGCATATGTCTAACTATTACGGTTAGGGCACAATATTCACTTTTCTTTCTAAAATTACGAATAACCACGCTGGTCTCCGTCTGGGTGATATTTTCATACTCCAGTATTAATCCTTACCTTATATATGCAGGTAGTTTAGGACCGTTTATTAGCATCCAGTCTATGTGGGAGGCATATGTTTAGCAGTGGACAAATAATGGCTGAGATGATAATTATAATTCTCATTTAAACCTATAAATAAGTTTAATAAAATATTATTATTATTGACTGAAGAAATAAATATTCTAACCCGTTATTTCTTACATAGCTAATAATAACTTACTAGAAAAGTAGTAGATGATGAGTTCAGAAAATTTTTAATACAACAATTTAATTCATTAATAAAAAACATCAAAACAATATTCAAATTATTTGTCATTGACAGAAAAATAAAATAACGAAATATAAAGAGGTTTCACAACAAATATTTTACTAGACCGAGAGCGAACCGAGTCGGTACTAACTATAGTGGAGATTTGCTCCAAAGCAACCAAAGAAAGCCGTGAAAAGAAAATCCAATCCTTAATCTATGAGAATGCCAGTGCCATAGATGCCATGCCATCTAGTGTCAAAGAGGAAAAGTAAATAAATGATAGTTCTCTCTTCTTCCTTGTTTCTTTTCATTCAATTTTAAAAAAAGACATGGTCGATTGAGTAAAGGACTATTTTGATTTTATAAAGGAATTTTCACAATAACCCCAATTTTAGTGTTATTACCCAAACCAAGCGTTTTTGTATTGTGCTAAATCTCGAACAAAATGTGGTCGATGACAGCGTGAAAACGGGTGCTACGTAAGTATAATACGACCAATATATTTTTACATCTGTGTCTTATATTTATTACCAGACAAATAAAATTTTACTTTTGTCGTCTAATACAGTACATACCTGTCATGTCACTAGATTGACAGGTATGTGTTAGCTAGCTAGGTATCTCAAAAGAATAAATCAGTCGTAATTTGTGACAATTTTATTTCCTGAAATAGTTTATTTTACGTTTGTAGAGTGCTAAACAACAGTGCCATGATATATGAAACAAAAACTGATAAGGTATGTGTCGCAGCATAAAGTTTAAAGATATAAAAAAACATGTTTTGATTTGCCCTTGTTTGGTTGCAAAATCTCGATTCCTTTGTCAGATGCATGCACTTTTACTTTTTCGTCATTAGAATCTTCTGACGTAGTCTGATTTCCCGCTATTTCGTCATTTATTTTACAATGTGGGTAGGATATTGTAGAAAGTTATTTATAAGTGTTAATTACTGTTTTTTTTTTCTAATTATGTCTGTCGTATGCTAATTAGTCAATTTCTACTCGAATACATGTTAATTTTAGCAGTAAATTTATGCAGTTTAATAATCACCTGTATATTATGGCATACTGACCTCAATGCTTTTATTTACTTACACACTATTAAATGAGACCTATAAGTAATACATTAACGTTTATTTTCAAACAACTTAAAAAAGAAGGAAGTTCTCAATTTGGTTGTTGGTGGTGTTTTAAGTTTGTAATCTCATATCTTCGTTACTTTTAAACTGATTTGGCAAAATCTTTTTTATCTGAAAGGATATATTTACCGATTAGTCCCATTAAAATTTCATCAAAATCAATATTTTTAAAACAAAATAACTGGTTTTGCCTTAATTGACACAGTTTTTGTTATTGAGGAACACAATCTTATAGTTTTTTTTTATGGCTGATAATGGGATTGTAATCCTGCCTGTGCTACCGATATATGCTGGTGGGGCATCAGTGAGGGATTATGGGTGATGATGAAAACAGGTCAGTTAGTCCATCATGACCAATTTTACTAGAATTAACCATGATGGTTTCCAGGGTGAACCACATAGAGTTGACCTGATAGGGTGTATTGTTAGCAATGGGTCAGTTAGATCCCATTACTAAGAATCCCCGTCCCCTCCCCATCTTATAGTTGATAAACGTGTAATGGTAATGCTGCCTACACTGTTAGTTTACTGGTTGGTGCTGACGGGAAACTAGTGTAGGATGATATGTGATGATTAAGTCAGGTTAGTTGGCTTATTGTAAAGAGTTCACCAAAAATTATTGATTTATTAATGTCTTGCCCCAACTTTACATAAATGTGATGTTGAAACAATATGGTGTCAATGTATAGTGATTAGTGATATTGCTATTGTATCCATTTTTAACAACTCCACAGAAATAGTATAATTTTTTTTTTTAATTGAAAGTTATATAAGGAAATATATATAGTAGAAAGCTATTTGTATAATATAGAATGCCATTTCTGACTTTTTATATGCCTAATAAAAAGGAATGATTCCATCCAATACAAATAGTGTATATTTTGTTGCTATATTTCAGCATTTTCGATTAAAGTTCTAAATCAACTTGATTTCTTCTGACATCTTGAATGATTACTGTCATATTTCAACAAATTAATTAAAAATAATATTAAACTATACATTTAACCTTCCTATTGAATTGCTCTATCTATTAATAAAAGCCATATTAAAAAATTTGCATAGTTTAAATGATATAGATGGCAGGTAGCAACTTTGTTTTATAATTGTAGAGATTAGATGGTTCTGCTGTTGAGGTATATTCCAATGAAACTACTAGGGAAAGCTGATTGTTAATTATGGGGATTAACACCTTGCTAGCAATACACCCTACCAGATCAACCTTCACTTAGTCCCCACTGGACTGGTCAGTATCTAAGTACACAAACAGTATTGCCAACTATTTTGAGAGTATTATACTAGTTTATTTATTTTTAATTTTAATAAAAAAAAATAGAAAGTACTTAATTTAGCTAATAGTGCTAATTTTAAAATTGATATCCATTCTTTTTTTTTTGTGAAATTATGTTCCATAAAATTTCCAAACACTAATGTGTTACATAATAATATACAAAATATGCAAATTATACAATGACATTGATTATAAATCGGATATTGATATATTCTATCAGAAATTTTCATCATGTCTAAGCACTTTGCATACACTGATAACTGGATAGTTTATAAGCATAATTTGGTAGTTTTGTTTTGAATCCTTATTTTGTGTGTAGTTTTAATTTGTTCATTAAAATTCTTTTTATATTAAAAATCATATGTGGTGTTGTATCAAGAGGTGAAGAGACTCGCTGAAAATCGTAGTGAGTGGCAAGAGCTCCGCCGACAAGAGCTCTTAAATAGCATAGATAGATTAAAAATCAACATATGCTGTTTTATCTCTGTGAATGTTGAGTACAACTATAATTGGATTGCAAAATAATGCTGTTGTTCTATTCTATATCTTTTAGATAAAAAAAAAAATCAAATCGCAGTGTTTATAATTTACAACTAAAGTGGTAACTACTTTGTTTTTTAAATCTGTTGAAAATATAATACATATTAATTTTCAACCAACTTCAAAAAGATGGAGGTTCTCAATTCAGATAGATGCTCTTTATTCTGTTTCCTTCAAAAGATTGTTTTTTTTTATCAGTTGTATTACCTCATAACTTATCTGCTGTGTGGCCAGAAGCCCCTACTCCTCCCTGAGGAGTAGGTCTATATTCAGCAGTGGACAATTAAAGGCTAATATGATTATGACCTCATAACTCCATTATTTATAAACATAATCAGTTTATTTCTTTTTTTTTTTTTATTTGAAAGGATATACTTACAGATTGGTCCCATAGAAATTTTACCAAAATCAGTTTAGTAGTTTAGTTTTTAAATCAAAATAACTGGTTTTGCCACAATTAGAGTTGGTTTTTTTTTTCAGGTCACCATCTTATTTTATAAATATTAATAAGTATTTTTTTTTGTTTCAGAACTGACAAACGCAAGAATCAACTGCTGCAACATAAAAAAAATAGGAAATTAATCCAACAAATTATGTTATTGTAAATAATAAATCTAATCTACTGTGATCTCTTAGTATTGATAGTGAATTTTTACACAGTCATATGTAAAAAGGCATTAGTGCAATCATTTTTTTTTCTCATTGTACGTATGATATTGAGACACGATGAGCTCTATTAGTGCAACCAGTGTCAAGACACAGATGCCGTTGAAGCAAAAAGACTTTGATCTGGTAAGAAATAACTTTTTTTTTTATCTTATACTATTTTTATTTATGTTTAGATACTTGACAATTTGCAACTGCAAACACTCTAAAATAGTGACAATTTATTTACTTTTATTATATTTATCTTAATTTAGCACAGTCCTTAAATTTTTTTTTAATGTTATATAAAAATAGGCAAGGTGTATCAAAACATAATATGAAGAAGTTTATGTAGTTAGTTGACTAAAATGAACCGTATATATACAGAGGTGAAAGAAGAAAACCTGCAATAAAGTAATATACTAAAAACATAGATACAAACACAGTTGTAGATAATAAATACATACATACATATCTGTCATGCACATATATAAATGAATTTAAGCAAGACTATAAAATTGTAAACTACAAGAACTATTTGGGTTCCATTCTATTTAATATGATTTCGATTTGATGCCATCCTGGAAACATTCAAATTTGGACAGATGATGCAATTTATTACATGTGCTAAAATTACTAAAGATTGTGTCCCACAAAAAAAATCTGTCTCCAAATGTGTCAAAACCAGTTATTTAGGTTTAAAAACTAAACTACTGAACTGATTTTGATAAAATTTGTATGGGACAGAACTGTAAGTATATACTTTCAGATAAAAATAAATTTTTCCAAAATGGTTTACAACTAACGGAGTTATAAAGTAACAAACATAAAAAAAATATAACTAATTTGAGAACCTCCTTCTTTTTAAAGTTGTTTAATAATTAATGTGATTAACACAATTATTATGTGAATTGTGTCTTGCATAATGTACTCATTTCATCATCTATGGCCTTGGAAAACGTCACTAGTACACTGAATGCTTCTTATTGGGCTAGGTCGGATAATTATAATGGAAATTATTCAAATTAAATGGCATTTACAGTTTTTTTAATGACTTCTAAAAGTAGGAAGTGTTCAATGTGTCTGTAATTTGTAACTATTATGCGATTACCTTTCTAATTTTGAACCTGTTATGATAATTTTTACAACCTATAGGGTTTATATATTTAGTTTATTAGTTGCACTGACAAGAGGAAACTCTTAAATGAAAAGAGAAAGAGAGGGTTTATACACCATACTAGTGATCCAACCCTTCGCACGAATAGATAGAATTTTCGAAAATAATAAAAAAAGCTTTAACCAATTCAACTGATGGTTATTATATAGCATTTTATACATGATTCTTTAGATTGATATAATTTTTTTATTTATGAACCAATTGAAGTAAAACACTAAATGTTAAGTGAAGCAAACCGCGACGCATTATGAAAACTGCATTCAAATCAGTTAAGCCATTTGTGAGATTAGCGTGCACAAACGTACAAACAAACAGACAAAAATTCTAAAAATCATTGTTTTGGGTTCTGTTACGTTCATAAGTGCTAATAAAGAGGAACAATTCCATTAAATATTATTTTATTTGAGCATTTTTGAGATTTTTCTGATATCTTGAACAATTAATTATCACCATATTTCAACAAAATTATCATCATATTTCAACAAATTAACAGGAAAGAATATCAAATAATACATATAAACATTCCTCTTGAAAGATGAAATTGTTGAAAATCGCATTTGAAAGAAAGAAAGAAAAATATTTATTTAGTGCATACCTTTAACAATTAAAACATAAACAATTATAAATAGAAAAAGAAAATACAAAAATAAACTTTTTTTTATGCAACTTAGGCCTAATTATTAGGTACTTATACCTAATTAGAAATTATGCGACCAAAATATTCACCACTCAACTAAGTGTTTATACATAACACTTAGCTGAGTGGTGTTTGTGTGTGAATGTAAATATGTGAATAAATAACGCCTAAACGCTGATTTATTTTTATTAAAATCCATTGTGTAGTGTATAAGGTCTAAGCGTACAGAAGCGTAAGTCGTATCAAGATAAAATATACACTAGTTGTCAAGTTAGACCTTCAGGAATATAAATGTGAGAGCCGCATCTAATTTGGTGCAGTAGTTTTTGTTTGATGCCGTAACAAATATACATAGAAAATTTCTAAATATTATTATTTTGGCGTCTGTTTATTTATTCTTTATTGCACAATAAAACTTTGTACAAGTGGCGAGCTTAATGCAATAGGGCATTCTCTACCAGCTAACCATTGTCTATTAATCTTATTATGAGCACTCATATCAATTTTTCTCAAATTTATATCCCATGTACAGACATCGTCTAGTTACAATTTTGTTATATTAGTAAGATCCTCGCTGTCGGATACAGGTAACCGTAAACTATGAAGACTGCACACAGCAATCACTCCGCCCACTTCACGGCACGGATTCCTGACAATACCTACATTGTTTACCTCAAATGCGGACTAGAGTGTTTACGTTTGAGGCAAAAAGTCGGACAGTTGCAAGTAATTACTTGTAAAGCTTGTTTACAAGATTACCGAAAATGATGTGTTTTGCTACGACTGAAATCACTGTTTTTTTTTTAGCGGAGCAAAATGTACATTTGTTACGTATTTAATGAAAAGTATTTTTGTGCAAAATACAGAAAATATTCGATCCTGCGCTGTCAAGTAATCGTTTTACTAAGAAAGCCTAATTAGCAGAATTTGTTTTGAAAATTAAAGGTAGTGATTTATCAATCATGTCAAAATTTAATTACTATAATCTCACTATTATTATTTCAAAATAGGAGTGCCAGTAAATGTCGGCACGATTTACAAACACTTTTTTTTTTTAAAAAACATTTCATATAAACGTATTTAAATTTAGAACACAGATTTCCGCTCCTCTCCGCCACAATTGCTTCGCAATGAAAACGGCTTTTTCAATTATGAAATCATTAACGTGAGACCAACACGTGTAACGTTAATTTACTATAATTAAGATTGTGTTCCAAAAATAAAATAGACTTCACTTGTGACAAAACCACTTATTTTAATTTTAAAACTAAACTAATGAATCGATTTTAATCCTTCTTTGCATGATTTTTCATTGGTGAAATAAATCAAGGTGAAATAAATTCATGTTCAAAATTAAAGAAAAAATTGTTAAAAATAATTTTTACAGCTATGGTTTTCTTTTCTGCAATGGAAATTAAAAAGGTATCCAGACACGATCATCTTAAAGTGAACTTGTTCTTTTATATATTTTTTGGGCATTCAATGTTATGATGGAAATTTCCACTATTATGCAAAGAAGGGTTAATAAATTTGTATGAGGCCAATCATATCATCTGTAAGTACATTCTGTCAGAAAAAAAAAATTCAAACCAGTTTACAAGTTTTTCTCTAAAATCGATTAAGAATAGGAATGTCCTGAAAACTCAGGATAATTGGTTTAAGTATTGTGATACGTATCTAATTTGTTATAACTGTACTTAACGGTTCTATTTGTTTTAAGACTCATTTTGAAACCAAAATTTGTTCCATTTGTGTGTTCAACCGACTTAAAAAAAGGAGTCTCTCAATTCGGTTGTATTTTTTTTTCTGTTTCGTACCTCATAACTCCGTCAGTTGTAAACCGATTTGGAAAGTTCTTTTTTTTATCTGAAAGGACATACAGATTGCTCCCATAAAAACTATCAAAATGTATGCTTAAAAGATATACTTTCAGATTGGTCTCGTATGAATTTTATCAAAATCGGTTTAGTAGTTTAGGTTTTTAAACAAAATAACTGGTTTTGCCACAATTGAAGTCTGGTTTTTTTTTTGTGGAACACAATTTTTAATTATTGCAACTATGCACGCGATTACGAATGCAATTCTTAATTCTTTTTTGGTTTTCCCTTTATTGTCAAGTGACGGAATATTTAATTTATTGTAGATTAAAACTATCCTCAAGTAAGTGCGAACGGTATGTGCACATTTACAAAATATCATTAAAATCGGTTGAACAATTTCGGAGACTAGCGCGAACGGACACCGTGACACGGGATTTTTATATATTAAGATATTTAATCGTAGTCAGTCGTTTTAATCGACCCCATCCAATGAGTGCAATGGAACTATAAACGCTTTCACAAAAATAAACATTAAATCTAGAGTAGGTACGGAACACCAATTGTGCAAGCGCGGTACGCAATTGACCGATTTATTTCAATAGCCCGCCGACGGTTCACGGCCGGTATCGACCTACAGTAGAATCTCAAATATCCGAATCAAATAAAACCATGGGTTATTCCGTATAATCGAATATCCGGATAATCGATATCGAAGTCAAATCGAACAGTACGTTATTAAATGTAAATATTTAGTCCATTGCTAGAAATAAACCCTGTCAGGTCGACCTCCACGTGGCTCCCCCTGGAAACCATCGTGCCGAATTCCTAGCGTATTCTTTACGGTGGGCTAACTGATCTGCCTTTTAATTATCACCTGTCATCCCTCGTGGGTGTCGTGAGAGTCGACCATGAAGGGCCGAGGGATGGGCAGCAGCGTCTCTCTTAAACCATCTCTAAAGCCTAACTGCGGTTACCAACCCGCCTGCCAAGCGTGGCAGCTACCTCCTAAGGGGGAGGCTTGTGTTCAACAATAGACAGTTAAAAGCTGTTTTTTTTTAATACAACTTAGAATGGCAAACAAGCTGACGGCCCACCTGATGGAAAGTGGTAACCGTCGCCTATAGACATGAGCAGTACCATGGACATAACAGGGTATACTGTTTCGCCCATGATACCCCCCATGCGTTGCCATTCCTGAGGACTCAGATGTTATTCCTCTGTATCCAGTAAATTCACGCCATATCCCCCCCTTCAAACCGAAACACAGCCATGCAAACACAGCTGCTTTACGGTTGAAACACGAATGGGACAGAGGTACCCAAGCTTTTGTACAAAGTCTCCCTCACTGGTGCTCCATTTGCGCGGACGGGATTGCCATTCCATTATCATCCATTAAAAAAAATACCACATAATAACAATAGTACAAAATTCATTCAATTTGAACTTGAAAGGGTTCTTATTACGTGTACGTGTCTAAAAATAACCGCGTAAACATAAAAATTTAAATAAATTTTACTTTACAAATACTACGAATTTATTCACGAACAAAAGGTTGAATACGATTTAGAACAATAAACAAGGTGACGACCCACCTGTTTTAAGTGATAATATTCGTGTATAGATGTGAACATCACCATGGATAGCAATGGGACTGGTAGCCCGCATTACTACCCCCTCCCCCCTCCGGGGGGAAAGGGATTGTTAGTAATGGGTTCTAATAGCACTGTCGCTAGCAATATATCCTATCAGGTCGACCTCCACGCGGTTCCCCCTGAAAACCACCGTGGTTAATTCTTGTTGAACTCTTCATGATGGGCCAACTGATCTGCCTTCATCTTCACTAATCATCTATCACTGATGCCCCGCCAGCGTATACTGATAGCGCAGGCGGGATTACCATTTCATTTTCACTCATTAAACCACCCCCCCCCCCATGTCAGGTCGACCTCCCCGCGGTCCCCTCTGGAAATCATCGTGCTGAATTTTAGGCGTATTTTGCACGTTGGGCTCCGTCCGTCATTATGTAGTATGGTTGATTACCTCTGTCCCATTCGTGTTTCTACCGTGAAGCAGTTGTTTGCATGGCAGTCTTTCGGTTTGAAGAGTGGGATATGGCAGTGAATTTACAGGGTACAAAGGCATGACCAATGAGGTTTAACAACCTCATTTCTAGCAATATACCCTATCAGGTCGACCTCCACGCGGTGCCCCTTGGAAACTATAGTTCTTGTACTCGTCACGATGGGTCAACTGACCTACTTTTCTGTATACCTATTATTCTGGCAGGGTAACTATTCCATTTTCACCCATAAAAAAAAATACCTATAGTCCTTAGGAATGGCACCACGTGAGGGAGTATCATAGGCGACACCCTGTACTCTAGTACCATGGACATAACCTTCATATCTATAGTCGACGGTTATCACTTTCCATTAGATGGCCCGTCGGCTTGTTTTCCGTTCCAAGTTTCATGCACTGGTTTACAACTAACAATCTTATGTTAAACGCTAAAAAAACAAAATGTGTTAATTTCTCTCTGTCTAAAAGTTTTAATACTAATTGCAATATTAAATTAAATGACGAATCTCTCGAATTTATAGAATCTACTGTCTTTCTAGGAATCACACTAGATAATAAAACACAATGGGGTGCACAAATTCAAAGCCTTGCAGCGAAACTAAGTTCAGCAGCTTTTGCCGTGCGTAAGGTTAGACAGTACACTGATACTGATACTGCTAGATTAGTCTATTTTAGTTATTTTCATAGTTTACTCTCTTATGGAATATTACTATGGGGAAAAGCGGCAGATATTAAGAATATATTCATATTACAAAAACGTGCCGTTCGAGCGATCTACTGTATGAAGAGTCGTGACTCATTAAGAGAGAAATTCAAAGAGGCAAATATTCTCACCGTTGCTTCTCAATTTATATATTCAAATATCCTATATGTTCATAAAAATCTTGACTTATTTCCAAAAAACAGCAATATTCATAATATTAATACTAGATTTAAAGACAAACTTGCTGTCCCCAAGTATCGTTTAGAAAAAGTTAATAGGTCTTTTATGGGAATAGGTATAAAAATTTACAATAAGATACCAAAGGATATGTTGGAATTACCCTTAAATAAATTCAAAACATCTGTTAAATCATATTTACTGAGCAAAGCCTATTACTCACTAAACGATTACTTGAATGACGAGTGTGCATGGCAATAGTTGTTCATGCACTGAATTTTCATTTAATGTTAGACATAGACACCTATATAAATATACATTGTAAATAAACTGGCTTTAAAAAAAAAAGTAATTCAATTGAGTTTCTTGCCAGTTCTTCTCAATTGGATCTATATACCGAACTGGACGGTAGGGAAAAAAATAAAATTATAATGTAAAAATTTGACGTTCATAAGCGGCTAAAATGTCCTACATGAATAAATGATTTTTGAATTTGAATTTGAATAAAAAAATCACTTAAATTTGGGCCAAAGATGTAAACATGATGTACCCCCGTAGAACACAACCTTCCTTCCTTCGCAGTCGGCTAAAAACCGCGCACTCATTTGACTCCGTTCAATGAGTTATAATACGCAAAATATTTTTAATGCAGGTAGCCCTTGGCAACGCGCCAAGTACCTATACTTGAATTATAAAAAAAAAAACACATATCATATCGTATAGAGCGGTTCCTACACACTCGGGTATTTTTAGAATGTAGTGTACGAGTTTGCAAAGTTGTGATACCGTCAACGCGTTTTAAGTTTTGTAATTATGGATTTTTAAGCTATTTACCAAAGGAGGAGAGTCTTAATTCGTCTGACTCTGTAGTTACAAATATGTGAAGCGTATGCGTTGAAAATTCTGAACGTATTTGAAATTAGAACGCGAATTCTTTTGCAATTGATTCGGTGAGGTTTATTCCAATGTTCATTCCATATTAATTTTCAACCGACTTCATGCAAAAAGAAGATTCTCAATTCGGTTTTTTTTTTAATGTAAAAAACATTCCTCATAATTCCATCAGTTGTTAACCGATTTAGATTTTTTTTTTCTAAAAGGAATATTGGTTCCATAGAATTTTTTATTGAAATCGATCCAGTAGGTTAGTTTTTAAATCTAAATAATTGTTTTTGTCACAATTGAAGTTAGTTTTTTTTTTTAAATGAAATGAAATTTATTTGCCAGAAACATTGTAGATAAGATGTTACATTTGTCAAGTTTGTGGGGCACAATCTTTAATTATGTTAGCACATGTAATAAATTGCATCATCTGTCCAAGTTTGAATGTGCCCAGGATGGCATGTAATCGAAATCATATTAAATAGAATGGAATGAAAATAAACATTGTAAACTTTTTTATAGTCTTGCTTAAATTCATTTATTCATTATCTGCGTGACAAATATGTATGTATGTTTTATATATTTATTATCTACATTTCTGTATATATTTATATATGACTAATTCACCTGTGTTTAGCGATGCAAACTGTATGTGTGCCTGTACATAACTAAAGTCTATTTCAATAGAATTTAATGATAAGGTAAACTAGAATTTATTAAAATTATCTCGAAGAGAATCTTTAAATGAAATTGTCAACAAATCGAAACATTTATATATTCTTTATTGCACTAAAACATACAATAATTATAGCAAATTTCTTGTATTTGTCAGAATACCAAGCACCTATAACAATATCTTTTCTGACATTGATCTCTTTGTAGGGTCGAAACTGAAGTTTAAAGACAAGAAAATAAAGGCATATGGCAACACTGTGTAATTAACGTTTTAGTTTGTTGTCAAGAGATTTTTTTTATAATTTATTGTTTTTTTGTTAACATCTGACAATGTTGCTGTAGTATTCAATGGTATTGTTTAATTTTGTATTACCTTCACTTGCATTATACGTTTATGCAAACTTTAGTGGCTGTTAAATTATTATTTAAGTGTGTAATTATGTATTGTTATAGCTGTCTTAAATAAATAAATAAGTAATAACAATTAGTAATAACGTAAACTTTTTTATTTTGATGGATAATAATGGAATGGTAACCCCGCCTGCGCTATAGGTATACACTGGCGAGGCACCAGTGAAGGATGATTGGTGAGGATGAAAAGGTAAGTCAGTTAGCCCATCGTGACGAATTCAACGATAAATTAGTCACGATAGTTTCCAGGGGAAACTGCGTGGCGGTTGACCTGATAAAGTATATTGATAGCAATGGGGACTAACAATCCCTTCTCCCCAATAACGTAATAAGCTTAGGTGAATTTATTTCTAAAAAATATCTCTGCCAGTTAACCTAACACAGTAGTGGCATACGAAGTAGTGAGTGGGCAGCAGTAGTGCAAAATAGAAATAAAAACAATAATAATAAATATTTACATAATTTAATATTCAATCAATTAACCAATTCTTTTATTTTATTGGACATCAGCAGACTGTCTTATGCTCTGGCCATTATTTATTTGTTTACACTTCTATTAATTTTTGTTGAAACATACTGCAGAGTACAGTTTCATCGATGGTTTTTTAAGAAATGAATTAATTTTGTGATGTGAATTTACTGGGTACAGAGGAATAACACCTGAGTCCTCAGGAATGGCAACGCATGGAGAGTATCATGGGCGAAACAGTATACTCTGTTATGTCCATGGTACTGCTCATGTCTATAGGCGACGGTTACCACTTTCCATCAGGTGGGCCGTCAGCTTGTTTGCCATTCTAAGTTGTATAAAAAAAAAGTAGTATTTAAAACTTCCTGCCAGTATTGAATCTATTTTTTTTCAGATATGGGGTGATCTACAGGAAGGCATTGAAAAAGTATACAAGAGACAGTATATGAGCAAAGAACGTTACATGGGATTATATACGTATCCTTTTATTATATTTATTTATAAGTGATTCCGAAAATGAGGAAGTTTAGTCTGAATTTTTTCTATTTATTTATTGTTACTTTATTGTGCACTCTAATAATACATAAAAATATGACAGAGGTGAACAAATGTACAAATGCGAGCTTAAACTCCACAAGAGTTCTCTTCCAGCAAACCCATCAATGTCAGCAGGTAGAGCGGTGTACAATACTGTAACAAAAAAAATAAGACAAACTTTAGTTTATACATAATCGATTAGATCATATTTAATTGTATGTGTTGTATGTATGTATATATATATATATATATATATATATATATATATATATAATATACATATATATTTATAGACATAATTGTATACTTAGACGTACATATAAAAACAACAATATACACTTATATTTCCTCAACTGCGAGTACAGTCACGTATACAACTACTGTACGTCTGTACATCATCAGAGCTCCACCGGCTCCACGTCCAGTGGTCGGAACAGCGCCAACAACGGTGGCCGATTCGGAGGCAGCAACTATGGGAAGAAACAGGTATGCACATTTTTTAGTCAATTATAATGGTAATGCACTTGAAGTCGTCGCTCCAGCTAGTGGGGAGAGGGGGGAGGGGTCCAACACCGCGTTTGCCTGAATGGGGTCGCCACTCAAGAGACTTTCTTCCCCATTGGTTGTCGAATCATCGAGCTATGTGACTAGCCCATTGCCACTTCAGCTTGCTTATCCTTCGGACTATGTCGGTCACTTCGTTTCTTCTGCGAATATTACGGAATGCATTGTAGGGAATCATTAGATGTAGTAGGCTCGGGACCGTACCTTTATGGCGGTCTATATAGAAGGTTTATGTTCAACGGTGGACAGTTAACGGTTGATAAATATGATGATATTTATAATAATGGCTATTTTTTTTTATACCACTGAGGTGGCAAACAAGCATACGGCCCACCTGATGGTAAGCGGTTACCGTAGCCTATGAACGCCTGCAATACCTTTTACGCTGCTAGGACACCATTGATGGATAATAGTAAGAAGTGTGATGATGACGAATGAACTATGAAAGTTTATCGAAAAAAGTCGACCTGATATTGTTTTTCTTGACTAGCTTTTAGCGGACTATAAGCTAGTTTCAGTCGCGTGGATTACAGTATTAGAAGAACCAATTGAATGAATTGAGAAGACTACTTCTAGATGGGGTATCGAAATAAAACATACGCCAGATTTGAAATTATACCTTTCGGAACACAACTGTTAAAACTTCATCCAGTATGGAGCAGTATTTTTTACGTGATGTCAAACCAAACATACATTCAGGGTCGACAACGCGCGCGTAATACCCCTGGTATTGCAGGCGTTCATAGGGTACGGTAACCGCTTACCACTAAATGGCCCGTTTGCTTGTTTGCCACTTTAGTAGTATAAAAAAAAAACATACAGACATCGCAGCTCCCCCTGGAAACCATCATGGTTAATTCTTGTCGAATTCATCATGGTAAGCCAACTGACCCGCATTCATTCTCACCTATCATCTTCCACTGCCCCGTCGGTGTATAACCGATAGCGCGGGCGGGGTTACCATTTCATTTTCATCCATTAAACCATCCATTAATACAAAGTTTTAAATATCTCCCGTGTACAGAAATAATCTATTTAAACATTTTATTAAATTAACAAGATTGTTTGAATGTAAAACTTGCAATATGTAATTTTTTACTTTATATGAAACTCAAAAGAGGATAGGAGATATAAAAATTTATTGGCCAGTGAACGTAATACGCTTTTGTCGTTTTGTAACGATATATATATTCATATTTTCCATTCTGGAGCCATAAATATTTATATTTTCACGTAATTACCCAATTCAACCGTGCGTAAACGAGAACAAGCAAATAGTTACGTAGGGTTGCATAATAGCTTGTTTTATCAAACGACTTCAAAAAATTGCAGGTTCACAATTCGCTTGTATTTTTTCTTTTATGTTTGTTACCTCATAACTCTGTCAGTTGTAAACTGATTTGGAAAATTCTTTTTTTATCTGAAAGGATTATATTTAAACATTGGTCCTATATAAATTTTATCAAAATCGTTTGACTAGTTTAGTTTTTAAATAAAAATATAAATTAAATTATATAAGAAATTTTTTTTTTCAGTGTGTTTTACACATCTTCTATATTTAAACTTATAATAAATCTGTAGAGAGGTCAATTCTGTACATGAAATATATTTCCAAAATAACTATCAGGGGGTGATTAGTGATCGATACTGATTTCAAAAATGCAATCAGTAAAATTTTTGTCTGTCTGTCTGTATGTTTGTTATAGAAACAATAACTACTCGACGTATTTTAACGAAACTTGGTACAATTATTCTTCATACTCCTGGGCAGGTTATAGTATACTTTTCATCACGGTACGATCAATAGGAGCAAAGCAGTGAAGGGAAATGTTGTGAAAACGGGAGAAGTTACTCCATTTTTCAGCTTCCATTGCGTGTACAGTCTTAATGGCCGCGCTTTTAAATGTAAAAATGTCCACCCGTGCGACGCCGGGACGGGCCGCTAGTGAATAAATAGTTTCATAGGTAACTAACTACTCTAACTGTTGAGTTTCTTGCGTGCTCTTCTCAACAGATAACAACCTTCTGAACCCTGTAGTAGATTAAAAAAATGACGACTTAAAAGTATTTGTTAACAAGTCTATTTGAATAAAGATGATTTAAATTTTAATTTACATACGAAATGAATCATACGAACTATTATATATTTTTACGTGCCTGTTTTTTTAGAATATTTTTAAATAGATTTGTATATAATTAAAATTGTGTTCCATAAAAATACTTCAGTAGTGGTTAACTTTGCGTTATTTTGATTTAAAAACTAAACTACTGGATCGATTTTCATATTTTTTTTTATGGGACCAATCGGTAAGTAAAAAGATTTTTTAAGCCCGTTTACAACTGACGGAATTATGAGATAACAAACATAAAAAAATATAATGGAATTAAGAACCTCTTTCTTTTTGAAGTCGGTTGAAAAATACGTCACTATTGAGTCGATTACAACTGACGTGTCCCCCGTTGTGAAACATAGACTCCTCATAAACACATAATTTCACGTTCTTAATTCAAATATTTTCAACAAAATGCTTCTACGCCTAAACATCTTGTCGTCATCTATGTGTATGTGTGCGTATAACATTGATGGCACTGTTTTTTTTTGTTTCTTCTTTTTTATAAGCAAAAGGTATTCGTCTATAATACGTATTTCTCTTTTTACAGAGTGGCCAGGTGCAGGGCGGCGCTCAACTCGTCGGCTTGGAGCTGTACCAGAGGCTTCGTGAATTTCTCCGAATTTATCTCATTAATCTGCTACAGGTGAGTGTCTATAACGAGCAAGCAAGTCATTTGCTTCGCTAATTCTGTCCCACTTATATTTTTGCCTTGAATCAGCTGTACTTGATAGGGGGGGAAGGGATTGTTAGTAATGGAATGGAATACCAATCCCATTGCTAGCAATATAACTCTATCAGGACGACCTCCATGTGGTCCTTCCTGAAAACCTTCGTGCTGAAACCTGGTGTATTTATCATGATGTGCTAACTTACCTGTCTTGCCATCCTCACCTATCATCCTTCACTGATGCCCCGCCAGCGTATACCGTTAGCGCAGGCGGGGTTACCATTCCATTATCATTCATAAAAAAACTGTACTTGACATATATATACTTGATATGTATACGGCAGCGAACGGAAGCAAAACACTTTAGGAATGGCAACACAAAACGGGTACCATGCGTATCATGGTGCATTCTATGATATCCATGTACTTAGGCGATGGTTATCATTCTCCATTAAATGGTATGCCAGCTTGCTTGCTGTTTTATATTGCATGAAAAAAAACTATCACTACTTACTCTTGCCCACCTGATGGAAAGTGGTAACCGACGCCTATAGACATGAGCAATACCATAGACATAACAGAGTGTACTGTTTCGCCCATGATACCCCCCATGCGTTGCCATTCCTGAGGACTCAGGTGTTATTCCTCTGTACCCTGTAAATTCACGCCATATTCCACCCTTCAAACCGAAACACAGCCATGCAAACACAACTGCTTTACGGTTGAAACACGAATGGGACAGAGGTACCCAAGCAAATGAATTTTGTACAAAGTCTCCATCTGGTGTGAAACTTACTTATACTACTTATTTATACTAGGCTGTTATAGTTGTCCTGTACTCTTATTCCGGTACCATGCCTATAAAACTATATAGAAAATAATTCCCTTTGTTTCCAGAATGGCGCAGACCTGATGGGTGAGGACGTACTCGCCTTTTACACGAAGCAATGGGAGGAATACCAGTTCTCGTCCAGGGTGCTGAACGGGGTGTGCGCCTATTTGAACAGGCATTGGGTGAAGCGCGAGTGCGAAGAGGGCCGTAAGGTAAGATTGGTTCGGCTTTTTACCATTCAATATGCTCGTTATTTTAAGAGCCTCATATTAAAAGTGCACAGGGAAAGCCAAATAAATGCATTAGTATTTATTTGAATCTACACTAAAAAGTTTGTTTGCTTGTTTGAACGCGTTAGTATTGGGAACTACTGGTTGGAACTGAATAATTAGTGCTGAATAGCCCATTTATGGAGGGCAACTATAGGTTTTATAACATCACGCTACGATCAAAAGGAGCTGAGCATAAATAATAAATGTTGCCAGAACTAGGAAAATTTATTTCTTTTGAGAGCTTCCGTCACAGACAAAGTTCAATATGACTTTAATCTTTTCTTCACAATCCATTCTTTAGTCTACTTGGAGTAAAGTGATTGAAACATTATTACAGGGAAGATACGAGATCTACCAGCTGGCATTGGTAACATGGCGCGACAATCTATTCCAACGGCTCAACAAGCAAGTGACTAATGCTGTACTGAAACTGATCGAGAGAGAGCGCAACGGAGAGACAATCAACACCAGACTTGTATCTGGGGTGAGTGTTCAAGACCGGAGGAGTTAAAAAACCCTGGTTTACAAATAAGTCTTGAAGCAAATTGTGCTCACTATAAGGTCCATACTAGTGAGGGCATATTTTTTTGATGGGTGAAAATGGAATGGTAACTCCGCCTACGCTAACGGGATACGCTGGCGGAGCACCAGTGAAGGGTGATAGATGAGAATGAAAACAGGCCAGTTAGCCCATCATGATGAATTCATCAGGAAATAACCATGTTAGTTTCCAAGAAGAACCGCGAGGAGGTCGACCTGGTTGAATATAGTGCTAGTAATGGGACGTGTGACGGCATATTGGACAGGGTCTTTTTTTTAATGGATGGTATTGGAATGGTAGGATCTGCCTGCGCCAACGGTATACGCTGGCGGGGCACCGGGCGGGTGAAAAGGCAGGTCAAGTTAGCCCATTGTGACGAATTGAATGATAAATTAGTCACTATAGTTTCCAGGAAGAACCGCGTGGAAGTCGACCTGATAGGGTATATTGATAACAATGGAGACTAACCTCCCCACTACTAACAATCCCTTCACCCAGAGGGGCGCTGCTCCATCCTAAGCCCTTTAAGTTCCTTTAGTCGCCTCTTACGACACCCACAGTATAGGAAAGGGTGACCTATTTTATGCCGGACCACACGGCCATATTAATTTTCCTTTCCTTTATATACATTTTTCTCAAATATGTCCCATGTACAGACATAGTCTTATTAACACTTTGGTTGTATTTTGTTAAAAGAGGGATTAGCTGAAAACCAGCGCTGTGCAGCTGTACACATTGCACTGGGACACTCACAACATCAGCTGAGCTGGTTCCTTTTGCCTAGTATGGGACACTTCTTGTATATGTATTTTCTATATTTTATATTGTGACTGTTTGTTTGCTGCCAATAAATGTTATCTATTGTTTTTTTTATACAACTTAGAATGGCAAACAAGCTGACGGCCCACCTGATGGAAAGTGGTAACCGTCGCCTATAGGCATGAGCAGTACCATGGACATAACAGAGTATACTGTTTCGCCCATGATACCCCCCATGCGTTGCCATTCCTGAGGTCTCAGGTGTTATTCCTCTGTGTCCTGTAAATTCACGCCATATCCCACCCTTCAACCCGAAACACAGCCATGCTAACACAACTGCTTCACGGTTGAAACACGAATGGGACATAGGTACCCAAGCAATCGACTTTTGTACAAAGTCTCCCTTTGGTAAATTCCTCCTTTCTATTCTATTCCATTCTAACATTGTCAATTGAATTACAGGTAATCAACTGTTATGTAGCGCTAGGCCTCAACGAAGAGGACCCGAGCGCACGAGGGCAGAATCTCGCGGTGTACAAAGACACGTTCGAAGCGGTATTCCTTGAGGACACCGAACGATTCTATACCAGGGAGAGCACAGATTTCCTCAGAAACAACCCTGTTACCGAATATATGATTAAAGTAAGTTATTTCACTGAACTAACTGTTAGTTTACCGATGTCCGAATCACTGGTTATTGGTTACAGTTATTTACAACCAACGTCGAAAAGGAGGTTCTAAATATGCTTGTATTTTTTTTGTTTGTTACCTCATATGTCCGTCAGTTCTAAACCGATTTGGAAAATTTCATTTTTTTTTTAATCTGAAAGGATATATTTATAGATTAGTCCTATACAAGTATTATCAGAATCAGTTCAGTAATTTGGGTTTTTTCATAAAATAATTGGTTTGTGAGAGAGCTGCGTATGGAAAGGGGCTGAAGTGAGATAGCAGCGGAAGGCAGGGTGTGTTTTTTTTTATACCACTGAGGTGGCAAACAAGCATACGGCCCGCCTGATGGTAAGTGGTTACCGTAGCCTATGAACACCTGCAATACCAGAGGTATTACGCGTGCGTTGCCAACCCTGAAGAAACCTCTTTACCCCCTTTTGAAGAACCCCATGCTGTAGTCTCTTGGGAAAACCTCGGCGGTGTGTCCATGCTTGTACTTCTTTATTACAATTACTTATACTGTTGTAATTTTTTGTTAATGGATCATCCACATTATTAATGGAATGTTTACCCTGCCTGTGCTAACGGAATACGCTGGCGGGGCATCAATGGGGGATGATAGATAGATAATAGGGATGATAGATAAATGAATACCCCTGGAATTCAGTACGATTGTTTCCAGGGGGAACCGCGTGGAGGTGGACCTGATAGGGTATATTACTAACAACGAGTCTGGTAGTCCGCATTACTAACAATTCCTGCCCCCCCCCCCCCCCCCCCCCCCCCCCCCCCATACTGTGGTGTTAGTACGGATGTGGACAATTCGAGTAGACGATCTTTATTGATTCATTTTAAACAACTTGTGTCCATTTTTTGTTAATAAGTGTAATTAAAAATAATGTTAATACGTAATTACTAACAATGATCCAGTCCTCTCGGCAAGCATTCTCACCAGAGAAACCGTCTAATTTATTTTCAAATATGTTCAAAATACTGTTGCCATCACCACGTATTCTATGTAAGAACGAAGCTGTGTTTACGCCAGACAAATGCCTCCAACTACACCGTTACTGATTATGGTCGTGAACGTGTAGATATGTAAATGCAATGTGAACAATCGCAGGCCGAACAGCGGCTGCAGGAAGAACAGCGACGGGTGCAGGTGTACCTGCACGAGACGACCATGGAGCGGCTCGCCAAGACCTGCGATCGCGTTCTCATTGAGAAACATCTTGAGATATTCCACGCTGAGTTCCAGGTGAGTATGCGGTGTTTGCTTACAGTTTATTTAGTTTCAGTATACAGAGTGTGCAAGGGAGTCAGTGGATACAGGTGGCTCAAGATCATTCCTTGTAACAGTCTATGGAGGGGACTGATAGCAGTGATATGATGATGGCGATGATGATGATGATAATACAGGGTTAGTTTTAAAAGGTCAGCCAAATTAAAATCTAGTATTTGTGAAATTGAACAATTTTCCCTCGAGAATAGATTTGAAATCTCAAAATAATGTTTGTATGAAGAGGTGGCTACTTATTATGATTTTCTTATTGTAATATTATTTATATGCATCTATATATTAATACATGACGTAAAAACTTTGTACCCCTTTTACGAAAATTGCGCGAATTTATATAGAGGAGTGCAGAATGTTAATATTTTTTATGCATAAAATACGTTAAATTAAAAAAAAATATTACACACACTACCATTTATTTGACACACACAGAACACGTATATATACTCTTTTGTTTAACACACTACCATTTATTTGACACACACTGACACTCGCATATACTCTTTTGTTTATTGATAATGTCTATGGTCTAATTTAGAGTAGACTAATATTGTTTGTCTATAGTCTTACTGAATGTCAAACATAACCATAATAAATTCATTTAATACAATATATGTTATGGTCGGATTTCGACCACTGGCCGACCACTAGTTTATATGCGTGTTTATATCACAGGAACGAAATCAGTAGCTGACTTTATTGCCTAGTTCATCATAACACAAGGTATCCTAGTTTGAAGTCCAAGCGGCTAGTGTGCTTTTGGGGCAGTTATTAATTATTTAAGGAAATTTTGTTATTTTATTTATTTATTTATTCTTTATTGCACAATCAAACTTTGTACAAGTGGCGAGCTTAATGCCATATGACATTCTCTACCAGCCAACCATTGGGTAAAAACAGAAAGCGTATGAAGTGCATATGTGGTGAAAAATGTGTGACATAATTATAGCAACATACTGAAATAATCATACGTAATACATAAGAAATGCACATATAATACACGTGAAATATATACACACATACATACAAACATACATACATATAACGGTAACCATTATGAGATATAATAACAATTAAGTAACTTGTAACTAGAGCTGGTTTTGTTGACTCAACGAATAATTAAAAAGTCTTCCTTTAAAAATATCCTGAAAACATGTTATCTGAAAGTGGTGTTTTGTTATCAGAAACTGTTGGACGGCGAAAAGAACGCCGATCTGGGCCGCATGTACAGCCTTGTGGCGCGGATCCCGGACGGGCTGTGCGAGCTGCGGCGGCTGCTCGAGCAGCACATACACGTGCAGGGGCTGCAGGCCATCGACAAGTGCGGCGAGTGCGCGCACACGGTACGCTGCACCGCCATTACCTCACCTTTATACTATTGACGGACTTTTAACCACTTAAGCATCTCGAACGAGACCCTCTCGCGCATCAAATGTGTTCCGATTTGCGCTATCCCAAATATCTCTCGCCACTTATAAATATTATGTGTATATTTTTATCTGAAGCGATACCTTCTCTTTTTTTTTTATACAACTTAGAATGGCAAACAAGCTGATGGCCCACCTGATGTAAAGTGGTAACCGTCGCCTATAGACATGAGCAGTACCATGGACATAACAGAGTATACTGTTTCGCCCATGATACCCCCCATGCGTTGCCATTCCTGAGGACTCAGGTGTTATTCCTCTGTACCCTGTAAATTCACGCCATATCCCACCCCTCAAACCGAAACACAACCATGCAAACAACTGCTTCTCGCCTATTTGTATTTCATAGAGCTTAGTGTATATTCATCGTATGCTCGTTCGAATTTAGTGCGTGCGCCAGTGCACCAGTTGACCTCATTTCACAGAAAAACCCTCGCATTACGTGATAATTCGATGCAGTAAACTGACATAAGCTAATGTCACTTTCCCTCCACGTGGTTCCCCCTGGAAACTATCGTGAGCAATTCTTGTTGAATTCGTCACGATAGGCTTACTTAACCTGGCCCTCTAGAGAAGTGACAAGCGAATTCGTCATTGGAATCGATATCGCCAGCGAGTCCAAAAGTTGTAATGAGTCATTTGGCATTACTATCTCATTCTGTCTCACGGACTCGCTAACGATGTCGATGCCATCGACGAGTTCGTTTTCCATTTGTCTAGAGGTTCTATGTAGCTCCCGTATATCATTCCCATTGAAACCCGTCATGAATCCGGTTTTATATCGTATTATATACTTAAATGATAATTACGTACCTAATACCTTCATAAAGTTTCAGCCAATTCAACGGTTCGGTTATAAAATAAACTATATGTGATTCTTTAGATTGATATAAGTTTTTTTATTTGTGAATCTATTAAAATAAAACAAACACTAAATGTTAAATGGAGCAAACTGCAACGCATTAGTAAAAAACCACTTTGAAATCGGTTTCTGAGATTAGCGCGCACAAACATACAGACAAACAGACAAATATTCTAAAAATAAATGTTTACGGTTCTATTGCGTTCATAAAGCCCCCTATTGTATTTTTTCTTATATATCTTTCATGTACAGACAGCGACCGGTTACAATTTTATTATATGTATTGATGTTAGTTAAAATAAAGAAATATGAATTGAAAAATTTAAATTAAGAATGTAAATAAATATTTTTCTTTTTCTATCGCTTTCTTATTCATGTTTATACCACTTTTCATCGTGTCGAATTAACTCGTGTACCATTTCAAGATATGTATGACCGTCTGTTTGTCATTAACAGGATCCAAAAGTATACGTATCGACAATTCTGGAAGTTCACAAGAAGTACAACGCCCTCGTGCTGATCGCGTTCAACAATGACTCCGGCTTTGTGGCGGCACTCGATAAGGCTTGTGGAAGATTTATCAACAGTCAGTATCCGTTGATTAACAAATTACTACTCTATTTATTACTAGCTACGAGTAGCTAATGTATATATATATAGCTATATATATATATATATATATATATATATATATATATATATATATATATATCAATACTTAATAAACGTTGTTTTACCATATACATTATTTCTAGAACTATACATAAAAATATATTGTACTACAATTATTATATTCGATTGTCATCTTGCAACCCTATTGCGGCATATAAAAATTAGCGATTAAACAACAGGGGTTGATCGTAAAAGCGTGAAAATTTGAATTTGTATGTATTTTTCAATGCTAAATCATAATAAAATAATAATAAAAAAACATGTAAAAAAATTAAAAAAAAAAAAAAATTTAGGGGTATATTTATATATATATATATATATATATATATATATATATATATATATATATATATATATATATTACAATATCTATTTACAAGGTTCAAAACGAATATGGTATATGTCTGTTATCCAATATTTAATGTAGAAATGAAGAATCCGGTCAAAATTAATAAAGATTTGATCTAGATACATATCCATCTGGTATGGGCGATATCGAATTGCATATGACTTTTTTTCCGCCATCAATATTCTGACGAATCCAATATATACATATTGGAGCGGTATCTATAATATCTTTTAGCTTTTACCCGCGACTTCACCCGCGGTACCGAGGTTTATTCACTGACTGGTAGAAAAAGAAGCCCAGAACCATCTCTAGGGTCCTATCTATCTCTATACCAAAATTCATCGTAATCGATTCTTCGGTTTAGGTATGAAAGCGTAACAAACAAACTCACTTCCTCTTATTAGTTATTACTGTTTATTTTTGAGAGACAGGAAAACCTGTGACACTGCGACCTTTCGCCTTGATCTTTTGTGTTCGCCCTTTTTTTTTTAAAGTTCGCTGCTAATTCCTAGCGGAGGTAGAAATTTTAAATGTTCTTTGTAGCGATGTTTTTATCTCATTAGAATATAGATAATATTTTCGAAGTCCCATAGAAATGTTATCAAAATCGGTTCAGTAGCTTAGTTTTTAAATCAAAATAACAGGTTTTGCCACATTTTAAGTCGGTTTTTAATACAATAATAATTTATGCTTGTTATCTCTGAACTTAGTCATTTTTAAACCGATTTGGAAATTTATTATTTGTAAACTTATACTATCAGATTGGTCCCATTAAAATTTCATCAAAATCCATTAAGCAGTTTGTTTTTTAAATTAAAAAATCTTTCCAACTATCCCAGGCAATGCAGTAACCAAAGCAGCCAACTCCTCGTCCAAGAGTCCAGAATTGCTTGCCAAATATTGCGACTTACTGCTGAAGAAATCTAGCAAGAACCCAGAGGAGGCCGAGCTGGAAGACACGCTCAACCAAGTGGTAAGACCGGAAATCCTCAGGAATACACTGCCGTGCATGAAAGTTTTTTTTTTTATTATTAAAATGAAATGGAAGCCCCATGTGCGCTGTCGGTACACGATGGCAGGGCACCAGTGAGGGATGATATTGGTGAGGATGTCAGATTAGCCCATTGATATATCAATATCATAGCCGTTAACTGTCCACAGCTGGACATAGGCCTATGGGAGATTTTGCCAATAGTTGTCACGCTAGGCAGGTGGGTCAGCAACCATTATTATGTTCTTACTAGCTGACCCGGCGAACTTCGTTCCGCCTAACAGTCGATTGGCCCAGTGGTGGTATGCGCGTGAGCTGCGCGCGGTACTGGACAGTGTTTGAACATTACCAGAGGGAGACTTTGTACAAAAGTCGATTGCTTGAGTACCTCTGTCCCATTCGTGTTTCAACCGTAAAGCAGTTGTGTTTGCATGGCTGTGTTTCGGTTTGAAGGGTGGGATATGGCGTGAATTTACTGGGTACGGAGGAATAACATCTGAGTCCTCAGGAATGGCAACGCATGGGGGGGTATCATGGACGAAACAGTATACTCTGTTATGTCCATGGTACTGCTCATGTCTATAGGCGACAGTTACCACTTTCCATCAGGTGGGCCGTCTGCTTGTTTGCCATTCTAATTTGTATAAAAAAAAAATTTAATGTTCCATCTAAATTAACTATATTTACCATTTTCTTTTCCCGTCGCTTCAACGACTATAAACAAAAGAGTTATAGGTGGCGTGCAATGAACAACGTTAATATTTATTTTTATTTATTTATTTATCCAAATCACAAAATACATTATACAGAATAGATACTACATAATAACATTATAAATTAAAATTACAGTTCATTTACAGTCAATACGATTCAAATTGTTTTTCTTTTAAAATAATATTTAGTCCACTTTGTAAGTTCATACATATAATTAATTCATCAATACATATAATTAAGCAGACATATAATTAGAATATTGATATATGTCATAGTAAAATATCCACAGGGAGAAATATGCTGAGTAGGTAATTTTTTCACTTTGTCTTATTTGTTTTTTATTAAATACATTTGTTTTATATTATATTATTCACTATATTATATGTAGTATACATGCTTACCTTACCTTTCGGGGACTTCGCCCTCATACCCTACAGTCTAAATGATCGCGTACAACGCGGTTTCAGACATGTTTTCTCCCACGAACACTCAGATTATGGAACGATCTCCCTGCCGAGGATGCGTTCATAGGGTACAGTAACCACTTACCATCAGGGCCGTATGCTTGTTTGCCACCTTAGTGGTATAAAAAATCTTTTCTTGTGTGTGTGTGTCTGAAACAAATAATCCTATCCCCTTTGGGTTATTTACCCGAGGCAAGCACTGTCAAATTTTGTATATGCGTCTATTGGTGGAAACCTATAAGTGGCTTCATTGTTGTTATTTTATATTTATTTTTTATGTAAATAAGTCTTGGTTTTCCTTTTACAAATAAATAAATACACATATACATACATACATATAAACAATTTGTATGTAAATATTGATATACAAGCCTTGGCCACAACTAAGCATTGATGGACTCACGTATGCGTGCCCCGGCTTTGCCTCGGCCCACATTTGCACGTTCGTCCATCAATGCCTCAGTTGCTGGCCGCTGCAGTAATGTACTATAGCTACAATTTATGAAGATCTGTTCAAGCGTTTGGGGGATTATTTGGAATTGTTTATTTTTTCTTAGCCAAGCAGTAGCCAGTTTTGACTGGTTACATATTATATGTAGTCAGTCCCACTACAACATATGAACCAATTTAACATGTCCATTTAATTTCAGATGGTTGTGTTTAAATACATAGAAGACAAGGATGTATTCCAGAAGTTCTACAGTAAGATGTTGGCGAAACGGCTCGTCCAACACATGTCGGCCAGTGACGATGCAGAGGTATTTATTGACAACTGTTTCTGATGTTAACAAAGAGGGTAGACGTCAGACAGTCGCCCTGTCGTAAAACTAAGCCAAATCTTTTTGTTATATGGATAAAAACATTACGCCGACCATATATAATAATTGGGATACATATAGGAAGAAGAACAGTTTCTGACGTTAGTGATAGATGATAGGTGAGAATGAAAGCAAATCAGTTAGCCCATCGTGACGAATTCAACAAGAATTACCATGATGGTTTCCGGAGGAACCGCGTGAAAGTCGACCTGACAGGTTTTATTGCTAGCAGTGAAACTGTTACATCTCCATTACTAACAATCCCTTCCCCCTGTACTTGGAGATTGATCTCATAGATCATTTTATCAAAATCGGTTCAGTAGTTTTTAGATCAAAATAACTGGTATTGTCACAATTAAAGGCAGTTTTTTTTTTTTTTTTTGTGGAACACGATCTTTAATATATCGCTGCTCTGCTCCTATTGATCGTACCGTGATGAAAAGTATACTATAACCTGCCCAGGAGTATGAAGAATAACTGTACCAAGTTTCGTTAAAATCCATCTAGTAGTTTTTGTTTCTATAACGAACATACAGACAGACAGACAAAAATTTTACTGATTGCATTTTTGGCATCAGTATCGATCACTAATCACCCGCTGATAGTTATTTTGGAAATATATTTCATGTACAGAATCGACCTCTCTACAGATTTATTGTAAATATAGATTATTTTACTGATAAACCCAAATGTAATACTTTTTTTTTCTTACAGGCTTCAATGATCTCAAAATTAAAGCAAGCTTGCGGATTCGAGTATACTAGCAAACTACAGAGGATGTTCCAGGTATTTTTTTTATGCAACTTAGAACGGCAAACAAGCTGACGGCCCACCTGATGGAAAGTGGTAACCGTCACCTATAGACATGAGCAGTACCATGGACATAACAGAGTATACTGTTTCGCCCATGATACCCCCCACGCGTTGTCATTTCTGAAGACTCAGGTGTTATTCCTCTGTACCCTGTAAATTCACTGCCATATCCCACCCTTCAAACCGAAACACAGCCATGCAAACACAACTGCTTCGCGGTAGAAACACGAGTGGGACAGAGGTACCCAAGCAAATTACTTTTGTACAAAGTCACCGTCTGGTGAATTATTATTGTATGTCTATTTAGAATGTCCCAAACAATTACATACCAATTTGGGACGCATTGCTGTGTCCTGACGTTTCCATTTAACTACTAGTAGGTAAAGGTTCTTTACACATTAATAGTATCTGTGCCCACGACGCCATCTAGTGGTTTTATTAGTAAACACTACGATCGTTTGCGCTATCAGTATATGCTGGCGAGCCACCAGTGAAAGATAACAAGTGTTCTTAGTGGATAATAATGAAATGGTAAGCCCGTCTATGCAATCGGTATGCGCTGGCGGACACCAGTAAGTGGTGATAGGTGAGGATGAAACCAGATCAGTTAGCTCATTGTGACAGATTCAACCAGAATTAACAACAATGGTTTCCAGGAGGAACCGTGTGGAGGTCGACCTAATAGGGTATATTGATAGCAACCTCCCCATTACTGACAATCCCTTCTCCCCAACACGGTTTATTGCTAGCACTGGGGATTAACATCCCCATTGCTACAATCACTCTCATCCCAGGATAATAGGTGAAGATATGAAAATACAGTCGAACCGTCGTGATAAATTCACCAGAATCACGATGGTTTCCAAGGGAACCGCGTGGAGGTCGATCTGACTCGGTATATTGATAAGATCGGCCATGATTAATACATACATCAGTATTTGAGTTCATCTTATTATTTATTTACTTGTTTAAGTGACGTTCATAACAGGAATTTCTCATTTCGTCCGTCTTATTTGAGACCAAACAATATTTTGATCTTGAATTGGCTACTTTAAATTCTGTAACTCTTCATATCTTCGTGTCCCCAGGATATCGGAGTGTCAAAGGACCTGAACGAGAGTTTCCGCAAACACATGGCCAAGAGCTCGGAGCAGCCGCTGCACATCGACTTCAGCATCCAGGTGCTCTCGTCCGGCTCGTGGCCGTTCCAGCAGTCGTCCTCCTTCCAGCTGCCCACAGAGGTGAGTAGTGTGCTCTGCTTTATTGGTGTAGTTTTAACGTTAGAGTAATGAGTGATCATTACCGTATCAGCCTTTAACTGTCCACTGCTGAATAAGCCTTCCCCTTGGGGGGTTTTCGCAGTAGTTGCCGTCCGGGGTTAACTTGACAAGATGTACTGTATGTACATTGCTAGCAATAATAACTAACCTCCTCATTACTGAAGGGATTGTTAGTAATGGAGACTAAGAATCCCATTGCTAGCAATATACCCAGCCAGGTCGACCTCCACGCGGTTCCCCCTGGAAACTATCATGGTTAATTCCCGATGAATTCATCATGATGGGCTAACTGACCTGTTTTTATTCTCATCTATCACCCTTCACTGGTGCTCCGCCAACATATCCCGTTAGCGTAGGCGGGGTTACCATACCATTTTCACCCATAAAAAAAATACCTCATTACTACCTGTCTGCTGTTGTCGATAATTTCTTTTTATTTATGAATTTACTGGGTACAGAGGAATAACACCTGAGTCATCAGGAATAGCAACGCATGGGGGGTATCATGGACGAAACAGTATACTCTGTTATGTCCATGGTACCGCTCGTGTCTATAGGCGACGGTTACCACTTTCCATCAGGTGGGCCGTCAGCTTGTTTGCCATTCTAAGTTGTATAAAAAAAATACTCATTTACATACGTATATAATTCTTACTGTAAATGTGAAATTGAGTTTGTTTTTTACTTGTTAACGACTTAACTGCGCCATCAATTACTATGAAATTTGGTATACAAGGTTGAAGATAGCTTAACAAATTGTTAGTAATGCGGGCTACTAGTGCTATTGCTAGCCTGTCAGGTCGACCTCCACGCAATTCCCCCTGGAAACCATCGTGCTGAATTCCAGGTGTATTCATCACGATGACCTAACTAACCTGCTTTTTCATCCTCACCTATCATCCCCCACTGGTGTCCCGTCAGCGTCAGGCGGGATTAGCGTTCCATTGTCATATATTAAAGAAAAAAAACGCCGTTGTCGACAGTTGGAGCGGTCAGTGCACAGGTTCACGTCATTCTACTCGTCGCAGCACAGCGGCCGCAAGCTCAACTGGCTCTACAACATGAGCAAGGGCGAGCTGGTCACCAACTGTTTCAAGAACAGGTGAGCGGAACACTTGTACTTTGTAATAGTAATGGATAATATCCGATATCTGGAGGGAAAGGGATTGTTAGCAATGGAGTTTGGCTGCCCCATTGCTAGCAATATGCCCTATTAGGTCGACTTCCACGTGGTTACCCCTGGAAACCATCGTGAACAATTCTTGGTGAATTCATCACTATGGGCTAACTGACCTGCTTCATCCTCACTGGTGCCCCACCGGTGTATACCGATAGCGCGGGTGGGATTACCATACTATTATCACCCATTAAAAAAATATATTATAAACACTTTATTGAGCACAAAAGATCTGTATACAAGGAGTATTTTTACAGAATGAGCATATATTCGAGATTTTACCGTGAAGCAGTTATGTTTGCATGGCTGTGTTTCGGTTTGAATGGTGAGATATGACAGTGAATTTACTGGGTACAGAGGAATAACACCTGAGTCCTCAGGAATGGCAACGCATAGGGGGTATCATGGGCGAAACAGTATACTCTGTTATGTCCATGGTGCTGCTCATATTTATAGGCGACGGTTACCACTTTCCATCAGGTGGGCCGACAGCTTGTCTGGCATTCTAAGTTGCAAAAAGAACTCATTATCATTTTTCATTTACGCCTTGACCAGACACAATTTCAATTATTTCTCTCCATCATAAGGTTGTCTGAAAGAGATCGCTACTCTCTCGTTACTCGCTAGAGCGATAAGGCCACCTATTGTTGCCTCTTTATCTTGCTTTTATGTAATTAAATTTATATAACTATGTATTCATTTTTTTTGTGTACATATTTTAAATCTTTCATATTCGTTTTTTTTTTCTATATACAGACATTCAACCTTTACAGTTTCAAAGTTTAAAATTTAATTCAATTTATTCTATAACAATATTACATTGTGTCGAATATTATAGGAGTTTTAGACTGTACAACTGCAAAATCACAAACATGCAACAATTTTACATATAAACAATGTCACATACAAGTAATGAATTAATAATAATAACAAATTCAGTAAAAAAAAAAAACAAGTAACTATATACAACTAACAATTAATATATATCTAAAATTCATTTATTTTATAAATACATTTTTCCAACAGAAAGGCATGGAGTTCGATTTTTAATATTCTCTAATTTTGGATAGTTTTCGAATCTGTTATACAATATCCTTCCCTGAAATTGCGCTCTATGTATAACTACGTTTAATTTAGGTTGTATGTCACTCATAATGTCTTTACGTTATATGTATAGATATTAAAATAGTCTCAATACTAATAGAACATGACTTTTGTAATTTACAATTTTCTCTGAGAAGGAACACTAACGATGTATGATTGGTAGGTACACGCTGCAAGCGAGCACGTTCCAAATGGCGGTACTACTGCAGTACAACGACAACACCGCCTGGACCGTCCGCCAGCTTGAACATCACACGGGCATCAAGGGAGACTTCCTTCTGCAAGTGGGTCACTTAGACGCTTTGCTATTATCACGCCTATTACTTTTATATTAACAACGCCATCTAGTTTTTTATTTGATAAATACGCAATTAGTTTATGAAGTTTTTTATGAGTCGAAAATGGAATGATAAATTTTTTAAATCGATCATTATGGAATTTTAAAATTTCATTAAAATTAAGTTAGTAGTTTTGGAGGTTAGCGTGACTGAACATTAAAATATAGGATTCACTAAACAAATTTTAACAAGAAATACTAGATGGCGTTGATATCAAGACTTGTGGTTTTTATAGATTATTTTGTTATTAAAGATAATTTAAACAAAAAACCTTGAGAAACCGGGACGGGTCCGCGGTTTGTTTAAATAAAATACAACGTATGTTACCCGCTGATAGTGTAGCTTTCTATAAGTGAAAGAATTTTTAAAATAGGTTAAATACTTTTTGAATTTAAACTATAGAGGCGAATACGATACGATATCTATATATTGGCTCGATAACGAATATGTCAAATATCGGTTATCCAGTATAATATCTAATTGAAGAACCTGATCGAAATGGATATAGATATCCGATTTGTATGGGCGATATCATAATAAGTGATTCTCCATAAATTTTCTGCCATAAATGTTCAGAAGGACCCAATATATAGATATAGACCAGCGATCCGACCCGGCTTCGCACGAGTAGACAGAATTTTCAAAAATCAATACATATAATAAAAAAAAAAAATTAACCGATTCAATTGATCGGTTATTTTATAGTATTTTATATGTAATTCTTCTAATTGATATAACTGTTTTATTTATTAACCGATTGAAATAAAACAAACACTAAATATTAAGTGGAGCAAACCGGTACGCATTAGTGAAAATAGCATTCAAATTGGTTAAGCCGGTTCTGAGATTAGCATGCACAAACATACAAATAGGCAAAAATGTTAATAATCATTTTAGTTTGAGTTCTATTGCGTTCGTTTTTCTTATATATCTTCCATGTACAGACAGCGACCAGTTACTATTTTATTGATTGATATAGGAGACAATTATATTATTTACCCATGCTTAATTACTTGTTTGTTATTTCTTATTATTTATTAATTATTTATTAAAAATCAAATATTTTCTCCTTATTAGTTAAGATAATGCACGAGTGTGTCTATATGTCCAGGTATTGCAAATACTTCTGAAAGCGAAGCTGCTGGTGTGCCAAGACGACGAGTCGGAACTCACGGAATCATCTGTTGTGGAACTGTACTTAAATTATAAAAAGTGAGTACTTCACTAATAACGTTACAGTGTGAGCTCCCAGATGAGGTGTTTCCAAGAGACTACAGCATAGGGTTCTTCAAGCCAGTCAAGTGCGAGTCGGACTCGCGCAACGAGGTTCCGGTACAAAATAATTAAGTAAAATTTTTTTTCATTGATTTAAAATCTAAATTGTTATACCTAATTTGAAAGTTTCTATAGGACTAATCTGCAATATTTTTTTAGAGATAATAAAATTTTAAACCGATCTGTAACTGAAGGAGTTATGAGGTGTCATACATAAAAAAACACAACCGAATTAAGAACCTGCTTCTTTATTTAAGGTGACAAACATAAAAAAAAACACAACCGAATTAAGAACTTGCTTCTTTATTTAAGGTGACAAATATAAAAAAACACAACCGAATTAAGAACCTGCTTCTTTATTTAAGGTGACAAACATAAAAAAACACAACCGAATTAAGAACCTGCTTCTTTATTTAAGGTGACAAACATAAAAAAACACAACCGAATTAAGAACCTGCTTCTTTATTTAAGGTGACAAACATAAAAAAAAACACAACCGAATTAAGAACCTGCTTCTTTATTTAAGGTGACAAACATAAAAAAACACAACCGAATTAAGAACCTGCTTCTTTATTTAAGGTGACAAACATAAAAAAACACAACCGAATTAAGAACCTGCTTCTTTATTTAAGGTGACAAACATAAAAAAAAAACACAACCGAAATAAGAACCTTCTTTTTTATTAAAGGTGATTGAAAATACTTTATTCTTTGGATTTACTTAGTCAAGGAAGTAGTAGATTTTTGTATTATTGTCTTATACTGTATAATTATGGTGTCGTACAATTGCCAAGTAATTATAATTATTATAAAAATAAACATGTCTGTAATATTGATACGGCCACTATAAATGTTGATAGATAATTGATTGGAGAACAATTTATAATAAAGTTGTTGAACAGGTTCTTCTCTTACATTATACAGATAGAGCATCGAGCCTCAAAAACGTGTCAACTTTTTGCCAACTAATTGTCAAATTATCTGACTCGTTTTTTATCAATGTTTTATATATTTATCGCATAAAATGTATCTTGACGTATTATTTAATAAATGAAATGTGTATTTACGCACTAAAAAGATACAGAAATTATAAGACAAAATAAATATAGAAGTTGTAAAGGGATCACTCATAATTATTTATCACGCAAAATTGTATGAAAAAGTTGACCCGTTTTTCTCGAAGCATTTCTATGGAGATACTCTATCTATATAGTCTAAGGTTCTTCCATAGGACCCGTTTAAAATAACTGACTTGGTTTTACATAAGATCTCACAACTTTTTGCAGTGGAAGAACTGCTTTGCGAGACGTGGTATTTTTTTTTATTAAAAGCAAACATATACATTTACATTATTGAATATATTTTATTTCTATATATATTTAAAACAACAATATTTTCACACGCGTCCGATAAAACTGTTTATAACCACTCCTCTCCATCCAAAGGTTGCCTGCAAGAGATCGCTTTATAAGTTCGCTCATTGTTTTCCCAGTATGAACATTTCTTGTAATTGTTTGTATCTATAATAAGTTTGCTATTGTAATCTTTTGGAAGAAACAATAAAGAGTATCTATCGTATCTTATGTTTTTGATGGGTATGATTATTTTAAACTGTTTTATAATTGCTGTGTTACAGAATATTTTAAATTTATTTATTTATTTATTTAGCAAAAAGCTTCGCGTGAACATCAACATACCTCTGAAGACCGAGCTGAAGGTGGAACAGGAGGCGACACACAAGCACATCGAGGAAGACAGGAAGATGCTAATACAGGTATTTTTTTTTTAATTTTAAAAACTTTCCCGTTGTTTACACATATTTTAAATACACAATTGGAACTTAAAGCGATGAAAAAAACTGCAGGTATAATAGTAGCCACATACCTGCTTCTTTATTGCCGACGTTCCGACGTGGATTGCGCTCCATGGTTGCACAATTTACCTACAAAGATTTTTAATCGCCTCAACACTCGATTGTGTATTTAAAACAAGATTTTTTTCATGTATCTTTTGTCAAGGGGCAAAAATGGCAAACAAGCTGACGGCCCACCTGATGGAAAGTGGTAACCGTCGCCTATAGACATGAACAGCGCTGTGGATATTGCAAAATACACAATTATGTATAAATTTAATGGTATTGAAGAAAATCGAGTGATTTTTGCAACACAATAATTGAAATTCTGCATCTATTTGGAATCGGTTGCAAATTGGCAAACACTTTGCTTTGGCTCAAGGGATATTTTATTATGAAAGTGCATTTTTGTACAAAGAGACCTTGTTTTTGGACCGATTTCGCTCAATTTTTACACTGCACTGCGCATCCTTGATTGATAATTCCAGCTCTCTAGCTGTTATAATTTTTATTTGGATTGTATATTATTTTTAATTCAACTGGGTAAAACTCGCGTATTGACACTTCACTGCGTTCAGTCAAAATTACTGTTTAAATATTTCCAATTTATACCTAGTAATTTTTTACAGGCTGCTATAGTGAGGATAATGAAGACCCGGAAGACCCTGAAGCACCAGCATCTAGTGGTCGAGGTCCTCCACCAATTATCCTCGCGGTTCAAGCCACGAGTCCCTGTCATTAAGGTATAATAGTCTTTATTACAAAGTCATATAATAAAAAATATCACAGCTCAATATTTCGAGATTTCTTTTCTAATAAATGATAATGGATTTAATGGATGGTAACCCAGCCTGCGCTAACATTATATGGTGGCAGGGCACCAGTGAGGGATGAAAGGTGAGAATAAAAGGACAGGTCAGTTAGCCTATCGTGATGAATACATCTGGAATTCAGCACGATGGTTTCTAGGGGAGACCGCAGGGAGGTCGACTTGGTTGGGAGTATTGCCCCGCCAATAGGATTCCGCCAGCGTATACCGATAGCGCGGGTGGAGTTACACTCCATTAAAAAAAACTTCACCATACGACTACGGACAAAGCTGCGGTATACAAAATAAATATTTTGCTTCTTCTCCGAGCGATAATGTTGTAAAAATACAACGTCAGTTGTAACAACATGTATTTACATCAAGAAGTAACCATAAATTAGCCCTGTAGGTCCCGGCATAGTATACGCCACCCGTTCCTTTCCCGTAGGTGTCGTAAGAGGCGACTAAGGGATGACGAGCGATGGAGCAGCAGCATCCCTAATAAAACATCTCCAAAGTCTAACTGCGGTTGCCAATCAGCTTGCCAATCGTGTTAACTACTGGCAAAATTTCCCTAGGAGGAGTCTTATATTCGGCAGTGGACAGTTAAAGACTTATATGATGATAGTAAATTTGCTGTTTTCTCGAAAAAACATTTTATGCAACTTAGAATGACAAACAAACTGACGGTCCACCTGATGGAAAGTGGTAACCGTCGCCTATAGACATGAGCAGTACCGTGGACATAACAGAGTATACTGTTTCGCCCATGATACCCCCCATGCGTTGCCATTCCTGAGGACTCAGGTGTTATTCCCCTGTGCCATATAAATTCACTGAACTGAACGTGTAATTTTGTAAATTATGTATAAATATCTGTCTATGTAATCCTTTTCTACAGAAATGTATCGACATCTTAATAGAGAAAGAATACCTGGAACGCACCGAGGGAGAGAAGGACACATACAGCTATCTGGCGTGATTGCGCTCGTCCGTACACTACATAATTATATAATAAATAAAATATAACAATATTATTAACATGTCTTTTATTTATATACCATTTCCTTATTTTTATATTTATTTACTAGCGGCCCGCCCCGGCTTCGCACGTGTGCAATGCTGATACTAAATATGCCTACTTACTACAGAATGTCCTTATAAACAACGTTTACAGCTTTTTTGTCATTAGACAATACAAACATGATAAATTGCTATAGGGCGAAGTGTGGCCTTCGACGCACTATTATATAGGCACGCGCCGCCGGCCAGGCCGGTACAGCCGCACCGCTACGTCCCTGCATTTTAAATCTGTAATATCTTCGAAAATATTTATTTAAATTACATGCTGTAAAGGACCATATTGATCTACATTAAATGGACAATGCATTTAAGGTACTTTATTGGATAAAAATTAATGCTGTATTTCTTAAAGTGGTTAATCATTAAACAAAAATAGACACTACATACTAGATGGCATTAGAATCGAGATTTGTAGTTTTTATTATTTTGTAATTAACCCTTATTTTCATTCTATATAATATACCATACATACAACTTTATAAAAATATACGAAAACTATAAACAATTTTTAACTTAGTTTTATTAAACACATGACATTTCTAGACATTTATTTAGACTTCAACAATACAATTATTATTCTTATTGTTACTAGTTTTATTGTTACCCTATTCCCTTTGGCCGTAGAGAATAGAATATCAGTGCTTTGCTCTTTTGAGGGCGAAGCAATAAACTAAGTTGTGACCATTTTGTACTGTTATGACACACGCACAAACGAAAAATTGTATTTAGCTTTATGTATTTTTTTAATCATTAATGTCATCTCGCTTTTTATGTATCTTATATATAAAATTCTCGTGTCACGGTGTTTGTTACCAAACTCCTCCGAAACGGCTTTACCGATTTTTATGAAATTTTGTGTGCATATTGGGTAGGTCTGAGAATCGGCCAACATCTATTTTTCATTCCACTCAATAATAAGGGTGACCCACCCCTAATTTTTTTTCTTTGACAAAATGTTTTAATATGATTTAGCATTTAAAAATACATACAACTTCAAATTTTCACCCTTTTACGATCAACCCCTGTTTTTTAATGGCAATTTTTATATTCCGCTATAGGGTTGCAAGATGGCAATTGAATATAATTTTCATGTATAGTTTCTAATTACAATTTACTTAAATTATATCTTTTTTCTTAATTTAAATTAATCATCAACCCTCACCGGTCGATAATTGATCATAGTTAATCGACTGGTAGTCCAATCAATCAGTTACATTACGAAGTAGGGATGAGGACGAAGCCGGCTTTCCTTTCTCTCGATCTCTTTACAGTTTAGGTCTATTTTTTTTTTTTTTTTGTTTTATTTGTCTCGATAACAGTGACTGTTATACGTTATTATATCATTTTAATTTTTCTGTGCAACTCTTAATGTTTATTTTATTCTCATAGTGAATTTATTATAATTTTATAAGTTACTATTAAGTAAGTGGACATTGGTATTTTGGACAAGATATGCCCGCATTGTCATGCACTTAAATTAAAAAATGAGCCAGTCGGGATGTGTTGCTCATCAGGAAAGTGCAACTAATGGAAATTGAAACACCAACTGAACCATACACACGGCTTACTTATTGGTAAGGATTCAGATTCTATCCTGTTCCTAAAGTCAATTCACACATTCAATTCATATGTCCAAATGACATCTTTCGGAGCAACAGAAATAATTCAAAATATTGCTGCAAACGGTTAAAAATTTAATTCCTTTATTTTTTATTTTAAAAATTAAAGGTTGTCTGTAAGAGATTGCCCTAGCGATAAGACCGCCTTTTGTACCTTAATGTGTATATTTCAATCTGTATTTATGTTACTGTATTTTACTTGAATTATTCACTTGTCATTGTATATTTTTATTTATAGTGCAATAAAGAGTTAAATAAATAAATAACAATTTAATTCCACGTTCAAAATCAAAATGTATATGGTAAAACAACATTTACCGAGTCAGCTAGTATCTATATATGTTGTAATTTGTGTGCTGTAAGTAATGCAAATAAATTATCTATCTAAAAATTGTAGTTTATCTGTCATAATTTTAAATCAGTTGTGAAAAATAACCGTCAAGATGTGCCGCTCGGGTTTATGTATGATAAGTTTTATTTTATTTTTATGTTTGTTCTTACACATTTTCATATATATGCTGTTGTCGCTATGAGAATTAGCATGTTTTTGTCGTGTTTTTTACTAACGTATATTATACTATACAATGTAGCTGTTAGTGTTCCAACTGTATTATACTTTATTTTAAATATTTTAAATTTTATGTAATGAAAGACATGTTGACAGCTAGAAAAAGAATGAGACTTTTAAGCTATTGTATAGCTTTTATCGCGGGCCTTGAGCACGGAGACCGAATGTAAAAATTCCGTAACGGAAATGGAACCTAACACCCCCCCCCCCCCCCACTCTTACGGCGGCAGAGCGGTGCGAGGACGGAAGCCGTGCATCGTCTAACGTATCTATGTCCAACAGTGAATAGCTGTACGCGTAAAATTTGTGTATAAAGTGTTTTAATATTAAATGCATTTAAACAAAATGCATTTATTAATGAAGAAACTAATGAAAAAATAGTGAAAGAAAATGAGTGAGTACTCTATATAAATACATTTTATTTATTATCACTGTGATGTACTCATTAAAGTTTAGACTGCAAGCCCCCCCGCTCCAGCCACTCCACTGGGTGATGTACGGGCGGGTGGTCGTGTGAGTCGCATTGTGACATATTATTGTTTATTATTTCCTACACCTACCTACCATACGAGGAGGACAGCACAAAATTGGCGACGAGGTAGAGAGAAGATAATTTATTAATTCTCAATCAATTTATTAAATATAGAAAAGACTAAAAGCAATTTCAAAAAGAAATAAAGACTTGATTCTATAAATTGTATAGAGAAAGCAAAATATTGATAATACATATTACGGTGCATAGTACGTTTTGTAATTTAGCGACACACTGTGACTGATTTTAACGGGTTTGCGCATCATAGTCGTACAATAACTTGCTATACATGCCTAAACAAAATATGTTCCCTTGTTGTATGGTCGGCGTTTGTTGATGTCTAGGTATACCGTACCGCAAGCTTTCTGTTTATATTTACATCACAGTATAAGTGATTATAACAGTTGAATTCTTGGGATAAGTGATCGGGTAACAGTTGGACCCTTGAGATAAGTGGTTCGGGGATACCAGCGAATACTGACTATGCATACAACAAAATGTGCCTGCATGTATTAGCCGAGTCGGAATAATTATTCTGACAAATAAAATACACCGTACAATCCGAATGAGCAAAGCTCATCAAATACATAATTTCACATAAACTGTAATCTATTTAGATACAAGTTTATGCAATTGGTGGTTCCGATTATAGAGGTTACATCCATAATAAATAGATTTGTATGTAGGTATAAACCTAATACAAATGTAATTATCATAAGATAATTATGATATATTCAAGCACTTATGACCAGTAACTTCATGATTTGACAGACATTTGGTAAGAGTTGAGGTTAGGATTTTATTTTTCTTACAAGGAACCAGCAGAATATTAGCGTTGCCGGTAGTTCTCTGCTTAATTCTGAGTTGGTTACCCTTTCGCCGTTGGGGCACATAAATTTACCTACATATTTATGTTGGTTTATAAGTTCAAAAGGCTGTGTTTGTAACTGAGAATAATCCATTTATCCACCTGTACAACAAGTACAAGTATTCGCATTTACAATATTGTTGCCTACAATTATAATAGCATACATTATTACGGTAGGTAGGTATAATAATTTAATAAAAAAATAAAATAAAAATAGCCTTCATTCCTGAATTACAGATTCTTTTTTAAATTGTAAATATGTATAAATAATTAATGTTGACATCAGCAACATCTTATTTTTCAGGTTGTTTTAGAACAACCATTTTAGTATAATCATTTACAAACACAAAATTCTCGAAAAAAATATAATAATAATAACTTATAATATTTTATTTAGATTCAATCCTTGACGGGGTAGTCAGACGCATTTGTTGACTACGATATACGGTTAATATATTTGTTAATAATAGTAACATAATTGGTTATTTGTCGATTATCATTAATTGACAGTATTTATATAAATACTTATAAATAAAGTACAACCCATAAAATTCCCGTTTTGCAAATTGTCTTATTATGACATCTCAATTGTCAAATCGTAGAAAAATGCAGTTCCTCATAAATTAAGTTAAAAGATAATTCTACTAAAATAGAAATAAATATTGTGGAAGCAATTCAATAGAGACTGATGAAAGATCAGTAAAAGGACACCAAAGAAACCAAATCTTGTAAAGAGATTTCAGACGAAAAGAATATACGGTGTATGAAATGCGAGAGTACATATCAAAATAGTTATGATGCACAATGTGTTGCAAGAAATAACTTCTGCTAAAAGTGTGGATTTATAAGCCATTTAGGTCAAAACCAATATCGCATTAATCAAAATAAGTGCATGAATGTGCAAGCGCTAGTTATATAGCGAAATAAATAGTATAAACCACATAATCCATCAAGTAAAAAATAAATAAAGTTACCAAACAATCATTCAACTCTCCTGTAACTACATTAGAACTAAATGTTAACCATACTCTATTCCACTATAAAATATCTTGCCAAAATTGTGGAACTAAATGTTAACTCTATTCCATTATAAAATATCTTGCCAAAATGGTGGAACTAAATGTTAACCATACTCTATTCCACTATAAAAATATATATCTTGCCAAAGTGATGGAGTTACATTAAACACACCCATTGATTTGGGTACAAAACTAGTATACCCATAACTTCGGGTACAAAAGTAAGATACCCATTAATTCGGGTACAAAAGTAACGTACTCATCAATTCGGGTACAAAACTAACATAATAATTGACATAATATTATATACCCATCAATTCGGGTACAAAACTAACATACCCATCAATTCAAG